ATGCAATCACAAAGATTCTGAATCTGTAGGAGGAAACAGAAGAGGAAGTCAGAACATTAAAACTTAAAAACTCAACTGACTTTGAAGACAGAAAGGACCATAGGCCATGAAATGCAGGCAGACTCTAGAAGATGCAACAAGACAAGGGGACCAATTCTCCCCTAGAGCTCCATACAGGGACACATGTCTGGCTGACAGCCTGAGTTTATCTGGGTGGGACACATGTCAGGCTTCTGGTCTCCAGAACTGCATCCATAGCGTTTTAAGCTATTATAGCAGAAACAAGAAGCTAATACAATGATGTCTGAATAACTGGTCCATTTATGTTGCTGAATTCACATCCATTCAGATGTTTCTATTAGTTTCTTTCCTGATATTCGTAATTTGTCCTCCTCTTCCTTTGCCAGTCTGGCTAGAGGTTTATCATTTTTACTGACATTATAAAGTAATTGCTGGGCTGGGGATGTGGCTCAAGCGGTAACGCACTTGTCTGGCATGCGCAGGGCGCTGGGTTCCATCCTCAGTACCACATAAAAATAAAATAAAGATGTTGTGTCTACCGAAAACTGAAAAATAAATATTAAAAAATTATTTTTCTCTCTTTAAAAAAAAACTAATTGGTGGGGGCATTGCTGGGGTTGTGGCTCAGAGATAGAGTACTCCCTTAGGATGTATGAAGCGCTGGGTTTGATCCTCAGCATCACATAAAATAAAGATATTGTGTCTACCTATAACTAAAAAATAAATATTAAAAAAATGGGGGGCCGGGTGTGGTGGCACATGCCTGTAATCCCAGCAGCTCAGGAGGCTAAGACAGGAAGATCTTAAGTTCAAAGCCAGCCTCAGCAACAGTGAGGCGCTAAGAAAATCAGTGAGACCCTCTCAATAAAATTCAAAACAGGGCTGGGGATGTGACGCGGTGGTCTAGTGCCCCTGAGTTCAATCCCTAGTACCAAAAAAAAAAAAAAGAAAAAGAAAAAAAAAGAAACGGTGGGTTGGGGATTTAGCTCAGCTAAAATTTCACTTGCCTAGCACGTGAAAGGCCCCGAGTTCGGTCCTCAGACAAAACAAAAATAAATATAGAACTTTTGGTTTCCTAAGAAAGAAAAAAGTGACTAACAAATTTCATAAGAAAACTAAGAAATACTAAGTAACTTTAGGTTTCATTCATTTTCTTCTGTTGTCAATTCTCGATTTCTGCTCTATTATTTCCTTTCCCTTGTCTGATTTGAGTTTACTTTAGCCCATTTCTGGTTTCATATGTGGGAGCTTAGATTATTGATGAGACTGTTCTCTACCAATTAACACATGTAATGCCTCTAAACCCTCTTTGGCTGTGCTTACATATTTTGATTTGTCATGATTTCATTTTGTTTAGTTTATGATACTTAACAATTTCCCTAGAGACTTCTTTTAGATTCATGGATTGTTTAGAAGTGTTAATTCTACAAGTTTGAATTTTCCTTTTACCTTCTATTACTGACTGCCAATCTACTTTCATACTGCAGGAGAGCACACTTTGTGACTTACTCTTTCAGGACTTTTCTGATATTTGGCTTATGATTCAGGACACAAATTATCGCAATGAACCTGGTTCCAGGTACACTTTAACTGGACTTGCATTATAGTATTGTTAGATGGACGAGTGTCAAGCAGATCTGCTTGGCTGATGATCTGCAATTCTACATCCTTGTTGATTCTTTATCTGCTGGGTCTCTCAAGAACTGAGAGAAGAGTAGTAAAATTCCCAAAAGTGACTGCAGGTTTGCCCATCTCTTCATTCACTTCTGCCAATTTTCATGCTGTTTTAAGCTCTACATGTTACTGATGAATTGGCTTTTATCAATATGTAAGGTGCCTCTTGTCCTCTTCTCACATCAACTTTTTTAAAAAAATAGCTTTTATTTATTTGTTTGTTTATTCATTTATGTGGTGCTGAGGATTGAACCCTCTCGGGTGCTAGGCAAGTGGTGCTACCACTGACCTATGGCCCCAACCCACTTCTCACACACAATGTTTTTTAAAAAAATATTTTATTAGTTATTGATGGATCTTTATTTATTTATTTGTTTATATGCAGTGCTGAGAATCGAACCCAGTGCCTCACACATGCAAGGCAAGCACTCTTCCACTCAGCTACAACCTCAGCCCCTCACACCAACTTTTAAAAGAATATTTTAAAATCTAAAAGAAGAATCCACTGAAGAGGAAGATATGAGATCCAAGAAGAACAGAATGAGCTCATGAATACAAAGGGGGTGGTGGTGGTGGAATTCCAAGGATGACATCTATGCAACAAACTTATAAAAGCAACTGGCACAAATTAGAAGACTAATTTGGAGGACTCACTGAAGAACATCTACAAAAAGAAAATAAGTTTGAGTAAATAATGTGCATGAATTGCTGGATAAGCTTAGTGAAAATGATGTTAAGTTTCTGTTCAACAAGAACAAGAAGCTGGGTGCAGTGGTACACGCCTATAATCCTAGCGGCTCAGGAGGCTGAGGCAGGAGGATTTCTAGTTCAAAGTCAGCTTCAAGCCAGGTGTGAAGGACATGCCTGTAATTCTAGTGGCTCAGGAGGCTGAGCAAGGAGGATGGAGAGTTCAAAGCCAGCCTCAGCAAAAATGAGGTGTACTAAGCAACTCAGTGAGACCCCGTCTTAATAAAATACAAAATAGGGCTGGGCATGAGGCTCAATGGTCAAGTGAATGCCCTGAGTTCAATCCCTGATATATCCCTGCCCCTCCCCAAAGTCAGCCTCAACAACTTATTGAGGCCTTAAGCAACTCATTGAGACCCAGTCTCTAATATAAAAAAGGAATGAGGATGTGGCTAGTGGTAAAGTACCCCTGGGTTCATTACCTAGTACCCAAAACAAGCAAACCAGACAATGTGGCACACAACTATAATTCTAGTAATACCAGCTACTCTGGAGGCTGAAACGGGAAGATTCCAAGTTTAAGGCAATTTAGCTAAACAAAAACAAAAAATAAAAAGGGCTGGGAATGTAGCTTAGTGGTACAGCAGTTCTGGGTTCAAACCCCAGGACTGCAGCAGCAGAAGCAACAAAACCACCATGACTGGGGAAAACCAAGTTTACATTCCCACAACAATCCACCAAATTTATAAAATACTGTACACCCAGTATTTCATTACTAAATTGTATTCTTTCTGCACCATGCTCAAATATGCTTAAGATCACACACTTAGGGAACAAAAATCTGACACAAATACATTCAAATCTGTGTCAAATTTAAAATCATCTTATTAATCCACCAAGAGCCAGGGTATTTCTCATAAATGAATTTTCTAATATCAGAATCTTGAACTTAATGCTGTAAGCATTAAACCTTTTCACTGTAGAAGGTTTTTTCTCTAAAATCTAGTTATGCATCTATACCTTTAAACCAGTACTGTAATTGAATCTTCACTTAACATTTTGGAGCCATTATTCTGGACACCAATTAGTGGTTCCAATAATCATTATTATTAACATCAATTACTAGAATTTATTTATTTCAGTATCAGGGATTGAACCCAGGGCTTCATGCATGCTAGGCAAGTGCTTTACCACTGAGCTACAGCCCAGCCCTTTTCATTTTATTTATCCTTGAGGGTCTCCCTACGTTGTCTAGGTTGGTTTGGAACTTGCAATCCTCCTGCCTCAGTCTCCCGAGTAGCTGGGATTACAGTTGTGCATCACCAAGCCTGGCTCAATTACTAGGTTTTAGTGAAGGAATGTAGATCCCCTTTTCAAAGAACCCTGGCCAACTACATAGTGATTCTGCCTTTTGTATGTCAAGTTGATGGGGACTGAACCCAGGCCTTGGAATAGTAGGCATATGATCTACCATTGAGATAGACCTCTTTTCCATGTTTTCTTTTAACATACAGTTTTTAATTTCTTATCTGGTTGTCAGTGTTCACTGGCTATAATTTGGATGTCTATCCAGGCAGTCTTCGGATTTGCCGCCTTTGGTTTCAGTCTGAGAAACCATACACTAGTTAGAATTATAGATAATAAAGTTGCCGATGAGCACTAAGAGCCCTCCTATAAGAAATACATTTTATGTCATCAGTTAGGAGACTACTTAGTTTCTTAGTAGTCTTACTTTCCCACGATGCATCTATTCAACCCAGAGCACTGTCTATGTTAAGGACTAGCTCTACCCCTAGTCCTTCTCATGTTTTACATAGGCAAGGGCCCTCCAACTCTAACTACAAACGAATCAGGTATTGCTATATAGCAGCGATTTCGGATTGACTGTGAATCCACCATTCCTAAGTGCAAAGACGCTAGGGAAGGGGGTGGGGATCAAAGGGCCCAGCCAACGAGAAATGGATCTACATTTTTCTTCCTGTAACCTTCGCTGAAAAGTAGCAACAGCAATTGCAACTAAAATTTACCGAGCTCGCCTGCCTCATTCTCAGCTCATTCTATGTAAAAAACTCACGGAAGAAGTTCAACATTGCTTGCTAGCTCTGGCCCGGGAGCACACACAAGACCAGATGGGTTGTAAAGTCATCTGAGCAGAAAAATGAAGCTACCACATTAAATCTGCTCTCTGGAGGAGAGGCTGGTGTAACCCAGAGGTGAGCGTCAACTTCGGAGCCAGGCGGCCGCACTCCCCGACACACCGGAAGTTTTGAAACACCCTGCGAGGCTCGCACAGGCAGGGTGGCTTCCTTCGCCACCGCTCCGCGGGCCCTCCGCGGGCCCTCCCCGGGCTCGAGGACCTCCCCGAGTCTGCGGCACTCGGGGCTGGGCCCCGGGCGGGCGCCAGGCCGTCAATCACGGCAAGTGCTGGCGGCCGCGCTTCCCCGCCCGCGCCGCGAGCCGGGCAGGTGGGAGGCACCTGCAGCCGCGGCCCGGAGAGGRCTGTCCGGGCCAGGCCAGGGGCCGCACGCGCGCTCCGGGGTCCCTCGTGGGGACCGCGCGGCCGGCCCGCCCCGGMGAACTCAGCGACCCGCCCGGCCCGCCCCCGGCGCGCCACTCACCGAAGAAGCCCTGCACGATCCCGAGCGGGTGGCTGAGCCAGTCCTCCCCGCAGGGCATCTCGCCGAGGGCCGGGGCCGGCGCGGCGCGGGCGGCGGCTCTCCGCGGGCCGAGCGGCCGGCGCCCAGCTCCTCGTCAGGGGCTCCGCGCTCCTCGCCCGCGCCCTCCCACGCACGGCGGGGCGCGGGCCACCCGGCCTCCGAGAGCAGCGGCTGCGGAGGAGCCGCTGGCGACCTGCAGGTGCAGCGCGCGGACCCCCAACCTCCACTTCGCACAATGGCGGGAAACAGCCGCCGCCGACCGCGCTGCCTGCGACCTGGGTGGAGCTCGCGCGGGAGGGGCGGCGGGGGCGCGCGGCGCGGCCCCGCGTACGGGCAGGAGGGCGGGCCGGCTCGCCCGGGGCGGGGCCGCCGCCATCTTGGAGACGGGCAACGGAAGGCGCCGCGTGTCACTCGAGCGGGCGTGCCCGGGCCTCCCAGAGTCCGCTCGCGAACTGAGTACGCGTCCTGGCGCGGGGGCTCGAAAGGCGGAGCCCCAGGAGTCCGCAGAGTCGGCTCTGGGAAAAGTTAGGGATGGAGGAGCCTTAGACGTCAGTCCAGCTCCTTTTCCTGCTTATTTTTTTTTCTTTTTTGCTGATGGCAACGCTTTTCTTTGACGCTGTGCCCTCAATCCTGTTGGAGCGWCGGGGTGGGGGGACTGGGGACTGAACTCGGGGCGCCGTACCGCTGAGCTGCATCCTCGGCCCTTTTTAAATTTTGAGACAGGGCTGGCCTCGAACGTGCGGCCCAGCCTCTGCGGTGGCTGGCACTACGGGCGGACACCCGCGCGCCGGCTCCGAACCCCTAAGAAAAGACGCCCCGAGCCGCAGAGCCGTCTGAGGGAAGCTTGCACTTCTAAGACCCCCACGCGCCCTGGCTGCCGTCCCAGGCCCCGAGGCCGAGGGACCGGCTCCTGGTAGAGGCAGGTGCCCGAAAACCCACCGCCGGCCCAGCCCTGGCGCGGAACCTGGAGCGGCRGGGAGTACCCCGCGTCTCTCGGGCCGGGACGGCCGCGCGCCACCAAGGCGTGCGAGTGAAGCCCCGCCGTCACCCTTTGCTGAGGAGACGTGGGACAAGTTCAGCGGTGCCACTGAGGCCAGGAATGCACCTCAGAAAGCCAGGTCTTATCACGCCTCTAACCCCAGCTGCTCCGGAGGCTGAGTCAGGAAGATCAAGAGTTCAAAGGCAGCCCCAGCAACCGCCAGGCACTTAGCAGCTCAGTGAGGCCCTGTCTCTAAATAAAATACAAAATAGGGCTGGGATGTGGCGCAGGGGTCGAGTGCCCCTGAGTTCAATCCCTGGTACCCCCCAAAAAAAAGAAAAGAAAAAGAAAACCAGATCTCCTCACAGCAGCATCCTCTCAGCTGGGAAAGGGTGCATGATCCGAATGGAGTCAATAAAGTGGGGAGCTGAAGAACTAACCCCACTTCGCAGGGCAGAAGCTCACTTGGAGCTTGCAACAGGCACCGGATCCCTCCTCAGTACCTCAAAAACAAGCACACCGAATCAGCCTTTGGAGCCTGAAGTCCTCCTTAGGGGTGTAGGGGAGGGGAAAAACTTTTCCTGTTCTGCAGTGGGACCCCTTAACAAAGCATACACCAAGAGAAAAGCAGATCAACTGTATATCTCATGTATATATGGGGGAAACTTGGAGAAGAGTAACTTAGGAAGGGTTTAGAATTAGCCTTTTATAGCATCTTTGTCAAAAAAAAAAATAGATTGTGGAGAATGACAGAGGAAAACAGTTTTAGGTTTCCAAAGGTGACAAACTGGGAAAGCAAAAATTCAGGAGACTAAAGGTAGACACAGTTCAGCTAGTGAACTTTGCTATGTCTCTTACCATCTCTGGCTTGGTAAGAGTCTAAAGGTGTCTTTGGTGATTATCCTTTGTCTTTGGTAGATATCGGGAGGGACACCTTTGGAACTTTATGTCCTGGTTTTTAGGTGAACGATGGGAGAGCAGGGGACTTTTCTTGTATGAGCTTCTCATTTGCCTTCAGCTCAACCCTTTTGTCAGAGTGGCATGTTTTGGGGTGACATTCTAGTTTACTTCAGGACAAAAGAGGTATTTTGAATTTCTCATTGTGAACTCCTTATTGACATACTGGATTATACACTTGTTCCTTGTGAGTTTAGTGAGCTGAGAAAAGGGTGAAGTCTGGGACATTGCTGACACCATTCTTTCAGCACAGAGGGTTGCCAAGTCCCTGGTGCTAAATGGGGGAACTCTTGTATTTTAGCTTTGTGCCTAGTAATATACAAATTAAAGTTATGACATAGAAATGAGTTTAAATCATTAAATTCAGATGCACTTCTTCTGAATTGCACCTTGATATCAATTCAGCAGTGGTAACTGTGGGGGGAAAATTACTTTCTTCCTTTCTGAGTTCATGGCTTTGTGTTTTATGAGAAAAGGAAGACCTGAAGAAGTGTTTAAGTCTGAGTGTTTTTATGCTTAGGTTTTTATATTTGAAATTTGTGGTGCTAGGGATTGAACCCAGAGCCTCATGAATGCTAGGCAAGTGTTCTGCCACTGAGCTACATTCCCCCACCTTTAACATTTAACCTATCAAAAATATTATAATTTGGAAGAAACAATTTTAAAATTGTTAATGGGATATTCTACTTCCCCCCCACCCCCCCGCAGTGCTGAGGATCGAATCCAGTGCCTCACACATGCTAGGCAGGTGGTCTGCTGCTGAGCCACAGCCCCAATCCTATTTTACTTTTTTATTGTCTTTGAAATCTTGCATGCATTTTATACTTACAACACTTCACATTTCAGATTGTGGTCATGTTCTAGTTTCAATAGCCACAAGTAATTAGTGCCTAATGGACAGCATAGGAGAAATTGGGGTCTCGTAGGACTATATGTCAAGATTTTTTTGCTCAAAGGCATTTTGAAAGATCTTTTGACATTCKGAAAACCAAAAGATCAGATCAAGAACCGCCCCACCTGAACCTATTGTTTTAGGTAGCCTGTAGTTAGCCCCATGACTCTGATAGAAATGAGTTTGAGTCAGTTAAGTTACTTCCTAAGTTACTCTTCTCCAAGTTTCCCCCATATATACATGAGATATACAGTTGATCTGCTTTTCTCTTGGTGTATGCTTTGTTAAGGGGGTCCCACTGCAGAACAGGAAAAGTTTTTCCCTTCCCCTACATGGAACTGGATGGAAATAAAATATCAGGATTCCAGCCTGAAAGAGCCAGTAGCAGTTCAAGGGTTAAGGCATTTCCAGAGACCAGAACCAGAGGTGGCCTGGACTGACTAACCATGAAAATTCTCCACTGTTAGAGTTGGGAGCATTTTCAACTTATTCCTAGCGGGAGTCAATCATTTCTAAGTTACAGTGGTTGCTGTATTTTCCATTTCTCCTTTTTTCCAATGGGGTCTTCATTGCAATTGCAGTTGTTCTGTTCTTGCTCTACCATTGTCCTCTGGAGTACTTGGTCATAATTCAGTGGACTGGGAGGAGCTGCATCCAGACCCAATAAAAACGGCTGAGCCACCCCAAAGATCCTGAACTTTCAAGCCCAGTGCCTGGTTGCCTCTCTTGGGAAGGAAATATCTGTACATTCTCTGTGAAGAGGATGGGTGCATATTTGGTGGCCAGGGTCACATTTTGATTATCATTTGCCCACCTAATCTTCCTTCACAGGATGTTAGGGTGTGGCATCCCAGGTGGGAACTCAAGTTCCCAGCTTTTCTTGCTTCTAGGAGTGACTCTTTGCCAATGTTCTCACCAGTGGAATGTGAACAGAAATGATGTGGGCRGCTTCCTCCCACTTGTTAAAATGAAACATTTGTCCCAGGACTTCTCTGATCATTTCCTGCTGGCTTGGGTGGTAACTAGAGCAGCCTTGGAAGCCCTAAATATTAAGTGACCAAAAGGTCACAAATATGTACTTTTATATGAATGAGACACAAACATCTATTTTAATCAAGACACTGCATTTTGAGGTCTTTAAAAAAAAAAGTAACTTGAAGTCCTGAGAGCATGCTTCTGGTATTCCATGTGGGAAAATTTTCTTAGTTTATCCTTCATTTCTGTTTTCCAGTTGCTTTCATCAAAAGTGTGCTTGAGAGGTAAATATTTTGGGAGCTGAATTTCTTTGCATTTGACTGTATCCTTTGTGACCTATGAGATCTTTTTGTGACCTATGAGTGCTGCTGGSTGGATCTTTTCAACTACTGTTTTGGGCACTCAAACCTTTCAATTTGGAAACTTATATTCTTCATTTCTAGGAATAAGAATATTATTTCCCTCTCCCTGCATCTTCTCTCTCTATTTTTAGTGGAACTGTTAATATTCAGATTTTGGATTTCCTTGCTTGGTACTCTAATTTCTTACATTTCCTCTCCTAGCTCCCATCTGTTTTTCTTTTTGCTTTATTTTTTGGRAAATTCCTCACATCTATTTTTCTTCAACTGAGTTTTAATTTTGTTATTCTTTTTTCCCTCTGAATATTTCTTTAATATTTTCTTTTTCTCTTTTTTTTTTAATGCTGGGGATTGAACCCATGGCCTCACACATGCTAGGCAGGTATTCTATCACTGAGCTGCATCACTAATGCTTTTTATTTTGAGTCAGGGTCTCACTAAGGTGCTGATGCTGTCCTGGACCTTTTAATTCTCCTGTCTCAGCCTCTGGAGCAGCTGGGATTATAGGCACKCACCACTGTGCCCACCTTTTCTGCTGCTCATCTACCCTTTTTGCTGCTTCTAAAATCTTGTTGGTGTGGAAAACTCATCCTTAATGGGTTTATGCTTGAAAACAAAAACTATTTGTGCTTCCAACAGTTTCAGAAGGAAGCAATTGCAATGTACCTGTTCAGTCTTTCYCTAGGGATTATTCGATTTCTGTTCATTGTTCTGTCATCACTAACCACCATGATTGCTCTCCTGATCTCCCAAGGTCTGCCAACTACTCTTCCTATTTCCAGGGTTGCCCTTTCCTCGGCAACTTTGTTATACTGAAGCGGAATGAACTTTCTACAGAGCAAGTGCTATAATTTTTTCATCCTCCTTTAAACCCTTTAACTCCCTGTTGCCCTCTAAAGACTGTACAACAGCAACTAACTTCTGCCTATTTTTTAATCCTCATCCCCCAACTCTCTCCCATTAGCTCCCTGGGCTCTAGCCATAGTTTTACCTCTGTTTCTCTTAGCATTCAAATGTGGCATCTCAGTGTTTCCTACATATTGTTCCTTTATGTAAATTTGTTTCTTACTGTTTCCTCCAATCCTTCCATCCCTAAGTTTTTTTCAGTTAACTTCTATCCTTTGTCTTTCAGGTCTCAACTTTAATTTTTCTTCTTCAGGGAAGTGTGTCATGTCACTCTAGACTAGGTAGGTCCTTTGTTGATGGTCCGGTGGGCAAGATACTTGCTATCTCTCCATGGAAAGGTTCTATCTCCTTATCTAATGATGTCAGTGTTCTATGTAACACACGTTAGGAAATTCTGCATTATATTATTCATTACCCTTTAGTTATTGTTATTATGCATTTAGTTGCCTGTCTTAACCAGACTAAGTTCCCAAAAGGGTATATTTTACATACCATCRTACCCCTAGTGTTTAGTATACTGCCTTGCCCACCCATAATGACAGAGACTGTCCTTGAGCAACCTGTACCCTGGCTTCTAGCAGTGTGAGGCCATGTATCTAGGGTGACTATAGCCCTTTAAAAATGTCTGCCCAAGAAAGCTCAACACTGCTAGGAGAATTTACTGTTTCTTTCAGCCAGAACCTGGTGATAGGTCCCTGAGCCACTGATTAGAACAGTTACTTTTGAAAGCTGACAAGTATAAATTCTCCTTCTTTCAGATGTAAATCTTCTACCACTTGGAACTGTCTTCCCAAAGACCCTTTGAAATGTGTGTACATTCAAGGAGATTGTTATTCTCACTCTGTGAGAATAAAAGCTATGAGAAGCATATGTCTCCTCTAGATAAGCACCATAAAAAAACCCAGAACGCTTAGTCAGGTAGACCAACCTTYTTTGCATGTCTCAGTGTCTTTCCCTTAGCCCACCCAGCCCTTAAAAAGTCTCAAACTGCCAGTTGGGGTGTGCATACCTGTTGACTCKGGAGGCTGAGGCAGGAGGATTGCAAGCTGGAGGCCAGCTCCAGCAATTTGGTGAAACCTTGTCCCAAAATAAAACAGGTGAAGAGACAGTGGTGTAACTCAGTGGTAGAGAGGGCCCCTGGGTTCAATCCTTAGTAACTTAAGGGAAAAAAAAAGTCTTGAACATTTTCTTTCAGTAAGGCTGGTTTCTGTTCAAGCTGGACATCACTTTTGCAACAATTATTACTAAATGAAACCTATCCTGTTTTAACTAGTGTTTGGCTTTTAAAAAAATAATCAGACGTTACATTAAGTAGTCATTTAATTCGTTAACGAACAGGTTTTATATAGGTGTAATTTACTGTGGGATGTGTTTCACTATATCACGGTTTCCTTTGAGGTCTTCGCTGAAAGAGTGCTTATGGTACTTTTTCTTTCATAACATCTAACTATGCAAGATCATAATTATGTTCAAATTATTTGCGCTGCATTTTGGATTCAATTTGTCAAGACTACTGTGGATACATATAGAAAGCATTTTGAAATGTCATATCCTTAAATTTCAGTCCCCTATTTTATTTTTTAAAGAAATGTCTTTAAAAACTTAATGGTTTTATTATTTTCATTTCTGTGCCAACGACAGGAGTTCAGCTCAGTTCTGTCCGGAAGGGCGGGAGGGTGCTAGAACAGAAGAATCTGGCTCCACCTTGTCTGCGATTGCCTCCACTGCTTTTTCCCCCTGCCCTCCCTTTGAGCACTCTGCTATCTTGTCCTGACGTATTYCACTGTACCTCCAAAATCTTGCCAGTTAAACTATCCCTTCGGTACTTTCAGGAAGCCCAGAGCGCCGCCCGCAATCTGTGACTTTCAACGTCAATTTAAGGTTTTACCTGAAACCCGCAGCAGCCACACCCCCAAAGGCCTGCCCCAATCGCAGTCCTCCGTCTCATACTGCGCCTGCGCAGAAAATGAGCGAGTCACGTGCGGATTCGGGCCTGAAGCCGCTGCCGCCATGTTGATTTTTGGCAGCACGGGCTGGTGAAGGAAAAGGGCCCTCGGCCAGCCTCTTGGAGTGCTGGCCCCTGTGCGCAAGTGCGGAAGTGCGCTGGCCCAAGGGTGACCGGTTTCCGGCCGGTGGTGCCGCACCGGCTTCCCGCAGACGTGTAACGGACGGTGGGCCGCAGCCATGGCCGAGAGGAAATCTAACGGTGGCAGTGGCGGCGCCTCTACCTCCTCGTTGAGCACTAACTTACTCTTCTCCTCCTCGGCCACGGAGCTCAGCTTTAACGTGCCCTTCATCCCAGTCACCCAAGCTGTCGCGGCCCCGGCCTCCCTGCTCTTGCCCGGAGGTAGGAGGGGAGGGCTGTCCCGCGGGGTGGGCGTGTGCGGGGAGCCGGGCCGCCGGCTACGAGGCTCAGACGCGAGGCTCTCCTCTGCCGCGTCTCGATCCGGGCGCCTGCTGGGGCCAGCAGTGCCAGCTTTAGAGGGCGGGGCCCAGGTGATGTGGCTTGGCTGATCGTCAAAGGAGCCGCCTGTCCGGGTTGTCTATAGTGCCCCGACACTCGTGCCCTGGCATTCCACCGATCTCGGTGAACACCTACTGTGTGCTGAGTGCTGGCAGGGATGCAGATTATTAGTCGCCTTCTCCTAGGGTACGGTCAGGCATCCTCCTAGGAGACTTCAGGATATAGTAGGGTATCTCTCTCCTAGGAGATGGTAAGTTACCTCCAGGGTGGACGATGTCCCTTTTCTGGAGTACAGAAAGCTCTTTTCTACTAGGAGACTCCAGTCCCCTTCTAGAGTAAAGTATAGTATTTGCAAACTGTAGACACAATGTATTCCTCATTTTTCAAGGTAGTGCATCAATTCCTGAAAGAAGGGTTTTCTTGTCCTTTTAGGCCCCCACTTCTCTGTGCACCTCTAGCTTTTTGCTCATATCTGTAGTAATGTCTAGGGCTTTTTGGTAATTATATAGCATAACCAAGGCTGTAGTGTTGAGTAGTACAGGCTGTGTTCCAGTCCTGGTTCTGCCAGTAACTTGATGTGTGACCTCAGTCATGATACTTTACCTCTCTATGCTTCAATTTTCATGTATGTTCAGTCTTATGGCATTGTCCTGAGAAGTGAATTAATTTCTATAAAACAGCATAGTACCTTGCACACATGTAAATGTGAACTGAACATGTTTGCCTCTTCATTTGGACTGAGGCTTGTTGAAATTTGCGGCTGTGRCTTAATTACCTTTCTCCTTAATTTATTTATTTTGATGCGTTAATTAATTGCCTTTTTATTTCTAGAATCTTATTTGGTGTCTAGCACATAGGTCCTCTTTAAGTGCTGTTTTTTTTTTTCTAGTGAATAATTTATTACTGTTTGAAGGACTAAGGAAAATCTCATGGAGAAGTGGAGAACGACTTCAGCAGTACATTAAAGTTCTTCTTCTCATGTTATTTCTTCTTGGTGCTTGTCACTACCTGACATATATGCATATTTATTTTCCCCCACCAGAAACCTAAGCGCCATGAAAGCAGGGTCTTGGTTTTACTCACTAGCATATATATGCCCAGTGCCTGGAATGCAGTAGACAATGCAGCAGATACTTATTGAATGAATGGGAGGGTGGGCATCAGGAATATGTATGTCTCATTTAGGCAATGTGGTCAAAAGATTAGATGTTGCTGTCTTTGGTGAAAAACTAGCATGGCTAGAGCAGAGTGCTGTGGGAGGATCTAGGAGTAAATGAGGCCATGCTTGGGGTTTTTGTATGATCCTCTGCTCCATAAGTATTGTTTGGTTTGTGTCCGTCTTTCTTGTTATACAGTATTTAGTTTGTGTGTGTCATTGTCAGTTGTTGCTAGACATTGTCATTGTAAGTACAGAGTAATTACATCTGTCTTTAAAACTCTTTGTTTCTTGAAGACAGACCTTTTTTTTTTTTTCCAGATTTGTTTTTGCTGTATTGGGGTCCAAACCCAGAGCTTCCAGCATGCTAGGCAAGTGTTCTATCACTGAGCTATATCCTCAGTCCCTTTTATTTTATTTTGAAACAGTCTCACTTAAGTTGCCCAGGCTGGCCTCATACTTGTTGTCCTCCTGCATCAACTTCCCAAGTAGCTGGAATTATCGGCGTATGCCATACTGTGTTTGGCTGAAGTTTTTTTGTGTGTGTGAGTGTGAGAACATGAATAGATTTTAGAACTAAAATTCTATAACAAGTATTTTTTCACCTCTAAAMAATTTTTTCGTAGTTAGAGATTCTTTCAGAAAATATGTGGAGGTAAAGAAGAACCTGACTCCTTGGAAGCAACAGTTAATCATATCATTAAAAGAGGCACACAGGAATAATTTCATGCATTCACCAAATGGATTGAGCAGCTTCTCTTTGCCATGCTCTGTTTCATATGTCACAGAGACACAAAAATGCAGATAGCTCTTCCCTCAATGACTGCACAGTACATATGTGTACACAAATGCCCACCTGGGTAAGCAGTTGTAGCACAGGCCTAGAAAGCTAGAATAAGGGATGGATAGGCTGCTGTGAACACAGTCGGTCTCAGCTGGTGGAGTGGGAAGGGCCTGTCCCTTAGGCCTCAGGGCCTCACGGGAGATGATAGTTGAGCTGCCTATTGAAGGGTACATAGAAATGAGGGCATCTGCATAGGTGAGAAAACTTCCAGGCTTGGAGGAGTTGGTGCTGGGTTGTGTGGGGCAGGGATGGACCTCTTCTATCTCCTGTTCTGTCCTCTAGCTCCCTGACCCAAGTAGGTCACTTTGACTAGAGGGTTTGCAGGGGAGTGGCACTTGGGGTCTGTGGGCTGTAAGTACTGTATTAAGGAGTTTGAAAAAAAAAAAAAGGGAGTTTGTAGTTCATCCTGAGGGGTATGGGGAACCTTTGAAGGATGTTAATAAGGCAATAAAATGAGAAGTGTGTTTCAGAAGGACTAAAGTTTTCTTAGATTGCATTGGAATAAGGCTGACTATACTAAGAATGGTCATTTGGGTGGCCATTGTACTTCAGATAGGAGCAAATGGCATCTAGCCCAGGTGACTGACATTGGGTATGGAGAGCAGGGAACAGATGGGAGAGATTTTTAGTTTATAAAGTTTTGACTCACTGGTGGTCAAATTATTAGCTTTATCAGTGCAGAGGTCTGTTCTTGTTCAGTTTTGGCTCTAAGACTAAGCTCTGTACCTGGCACATATGGGGTGCTKTATAAATATTTATTGAAGAGCATCCGATTAAATGAAGGGTATTAGAGGAAGGGTCTGACAGACTCGAGGTTTTTGCTGAAATCTTGATGTTGTTRGTGAACTCCTGTTGAGGTTGTAAGAACCCGTGAAAGGACATGGGTGGGGCTGGGATTGTGGCTCAGTGGTAGAGCGCTTGCCTAGCAGTTAGGAGGCCCTGAGTTTGATTCTCAGTACCTCATATAAACAAATAGAATAAAGTCCATTGATAACTAAAAGAATATTTTTTTTTTTAAAAAAGGACATGGGGTGGTCAATGTAATAAATTTAGTGTTTTTTTAAAAAATATTTTTTAGTTGTCAGTGGACCTTTATTTTGTTTATTTTTATGTGGTGCTGAGGATTGAACTCAGTGCCTTACACATGCTGGGCAAGTACTCTACCACTGAGCCACAACCCCAACCCCATAAATTTAGTTTTAAGCCTATTAAATTGAAGCATACGAAGCTGCATCTGTCAGAAATATTGAAGGAGTGATTAAAAAATAGCTTCTGGAACACATGGCAGTCTTGGTTTGAGACAGTTGGTAGAGTCCTGAGTATAGACTGCTCATGAACATTGTGTCCTGAGGGCTAGAGTGTGGCTCAGTGGTGGGGCACTGGTCCAGTATGCATGAGGCCCTGGGTTCAATCCCAATGCTGCAGAAAAAAATAAACAAACAAAACCTCAGGTGAAGCTAACAGAATGTTGTCATTTCATTTATGATTGATACTAAGTAGAAAAATATTTCTTGGACCAGGTTAATTTCAAATTCTCTTAAAGGGTGAAAGATAGCACATAAGGCCCTCCCTCTCTTCCCATCACACACAGTTCATTGTTGAGGGAGGAGCTAAGAAATACAGAGAAATCCAAGTAAGGTTCACAGGAAGGTGAAGGTTAGGTGGAAACTGGAAATACATTAGAAAAGTAGAAAGAGAAAAGCAGACAGAGTCTTGAATAGGAAGGATTTTTTTTTTTTTTTTTGATACAAAGAAACAAGTTTTAGGAGTCTTTTAAATAGTACCATGCAGGGCTGGGTTGTGGCTCAGTGTAACGAGGCCCTGGGTTCTATCCTCAGGACCACATAAAAATAAATCAATAAATAAAACAACCGTATTGTATCCAACTACAATTAAAGTAAATATTAAGAAAAATAGTACCATGCTGATCATAATCCAAAAGATTCAATCCCTAATGCCATAATCTTGTGAGTCTTTTGGGATGATGGTCCAAACATGTATAGTGGAGTGTCTTGGTAGTTTGGTGTATGTGAAATCTAAGGGGAGCAGCCTAGGCACTCAAGGCAGAATCTCCTATGAGCCCAGTGGTCTTCTCAGCAGAGGTCAAGGAGGAGCACAAAGCTTGGCAAGCATCCTAGGACAGGGACCACTGTGTACTTCTGTGCTGGGAGAGAGGCCACCCTCTTGAGGGACTCCATGCCTCCAGTAGTAGGAGATAAGAAGGATAAGACAGGAGAAAGARAGGAGAAGGACGAAAGCTGCAAGCTCAGGGCTTGGGAAAGTTCAGTGAGGAAGAGCAGGGTGGACTTTGTAGGTCATGTGGAGGGTATATGCTTTTATTTTATTCATGAGTTGGTAGCAGAACAAAAGAAAATCCTTTGATTTAATACCCACAGTGAAGATCAAGTTGGGCAAAGAGAGATGAGAACTTCCTTAGAAAAATGGCTTTCCTAGCTATCTGGTGTTCTGTAATGACTAATTATTTGGTTGTGACACTGTATGATGTTAGAGATGGAAATTAAGGTTGACATATTTTTCTTTGGGAATACACATAACATGTTCATTTGTATAATAAGTGCTTTGTAAGTAAGAGCCCTGTTACACCCCTTCTTGTCCACAGAGTTAATATGTACTTTAGTTTCTCTTCGCGACTGTAGAAATTAAGATGATGTGCATTTGGGTGATGGAATAACATTTGAGTCATATTTTACCAGGGAGAGAAAAAATTTATAATAATATGTAAAAGTTGTAGGTATAGCTGGGTGTGATGGCGCATGCCTGTAATCCCAGCAGCTTGGGAGGCTGAGGCAGGAGGATTGTAAGTTTAAAGCTAGCTTCAGCAACCTCGAGGTGCTAAGCAACTCAGTGAGACCCTGTCTCTAAATAGGGGTGGGGATGTGGCTTAAGGCTTGAGTAACCCTGAGTTCAATCCCTGGTATACCCCTTTCCCCCCAAAAAAAGTTGTAGGTATAGTTAATATTTCTGTTTTTAAAAGCACCTCTGTAAAAACATTTATTTAAAAAGTATGAAAGAGTATATACCAAAATGTGATTGTCTCTGGGAGGTGGGCTTATCAATGAATTGTATATTTTCCTGCTTTTGATTTTTTCCTATGAATATTTTCTAGATTTTCATTTCAAAGAAATGAAAAGCAGAAATATGAGTTAGATTAATACGTAAGAGGTAGAATTGCTGGTTTTTCCTTACAGAATTATATCTACAGAATGTTAGAAAACTTTAAATCATTTGCTCTCCTGTTCTGTTTCAGAGGATTCCACAGATGTGGGTGAGGAGGACAGCTTCCTCGGTCAGACTTCTGTTCACACATCCACCCCACAGACATTTAGTTACTTCTCTCAGGTATCAAGCAGTAGTGATCCTTTTGGGAATATTGGACAGTCACCCTTAACAACTGCAGCAACATCGGTTGGACAATCTGCATTCTCCAATTCCCCGACTGCTCTCCCTTTTACAACTGGATCCCAAGATGTGTTGAATGCATTTCCACCATCTGTATCGAAGCCTCCATATGGTGCTCCACCTTCCCCACAGATGGGAATGAATACTTACCTGCCTTCTCAGCCAAGTAGTCTCCCTCCTTCAAATTTTGGGAGCCCATCCCAAGGAACTCCCCAAGGGTACAATCCATATCGCCATACCCCTGTCAGCAGCAGGGCTAATCCATATATTGCACCACCACAGCTGCAACMGTGCCAAACACCAGGCCATCCCTCTCACCCTCCACCCTCTGGACCCCCTATGCAGATGTACCAGACGCCTCCAGGATCTTTGCCACCGGTATGTAGATAGGTTTTGTGTCCTAATTATTCGCTCTTACTTTTTTTTTTCTCACCTTGGCCAATGTTTGAAAGAACTTTTGTGTGTTTTATAATTCGAATGAGAATGAGTTATGCTTTTTGTTTTTTATGGTTTTTTTTTCCATAAAAGTAAATGGAATAGGATTTATTTGGTTTCAAATAGATAGAACTCCCACAAGACAGGGGACTGATAGCAAGTTTTTCATGAAAAAGAAAAATCCTTTAAAGCAATGGTTATTGCACTTAAAACATCTGATAGAAATTAGTGCTTTGATTCACTGGCCACCTAAAAATACATGAGTTGGTAATTTCAAAGACATCATTACTCTTACCAATTTAAATTGACCCTTTTTGCTAAAGTTTTATTTAAGTCACATGAACCAAAAGGCATTTGGATCCATGTGTGAAATTTACTCATTTGTACTCATTTGGCTGTAAGCCAACTTTTATTTTGGTATTGGGGATTGAACTCAGGGGCACTTGACCACTAAGCCACATCCTCAGCCCTGTTGTATTTTATTTAGAGATGGTCTCACTGGGTTGAGACCTYGTTACTGCTGAGGGTGGCTTTGAACTCTAAATCCTCCTGTCTCAGCCTCCTGAGCCGCTGGGATTATAGGCGTGCACCATTGCACCCACCTTTAAGCCAACCTTGATACCATGCACATGCTGTATGGACACAACTACATATGTAGATACCATAGGTAATACTCAGRAGTGCACAAGTACACATAAAACAGACAGAAAACAAAGATGTTGTAGTTGGGGCTGGGAATATAGCTCAGTTGRTAGAGTGCTTGCCTTGCATGCACAAGCCCTGGATTCAATCCCTAGCACCACAAAAAAAAAAAAAAAAAAAAAAAAAGATGCTTATAGTTGTTTAGCAGGTATTAGAGCTAAAACAATTATAGATGTTTATTAGACTCTATTAGATACAACCCTTTAGAAATTAAAATAGAGCCTGTCACAGATTTTTACTTTTATGATTTAGAAATGGGGTAGGTCTGTATAGGTAGAAACATTAGGCACATAGTCTGTCAGCCATGGTGGATGCTGAAATCAAAGGTTCAGGTGGCCACTTGTCCTCCATGGGGGTTAGGTTCACTTTTGTCATCACCACTGTTTATTTCAAGTTTGTAAGTTACATGCTTTGAAGTTTATTTTACCTGTTTGCTGATGTAATAATTGATTTTAATGAGTTAGTGCAGTTTTTAGGGTAAGATACTACTAATAAATGTTACCTAGGAACACATGAGAGTTGAGGCAATTATTGTCTTAACAGAGTGCCAGCTTCTCATCTCCTAATTTACTATTTAATACAAATACTCAATTATAGGGACAAAAATTGATTTCTCCAGTAATTTATATTTACACGGCATTTGGATCCAGTCAGTTAAATTCTATCTGAAGGAGGGTAATGGAGTAACATTTACCTTAGGTAAATTTTGTGAATTTTCTTTATGCTTTTTTCCCCACGAATTGTTCATCTGACTTCCAGAGGAGGCTATATAAAATAAAAAGGGAGATGAAAAGAATTAAGCACCAACCCAATGTGGGAGAGAATGACAATATGTCTCCTGGAGATATGCTTTTTTAGGGATTGAACTCAGGACCTAATGTATGCTAGGTAAACACTGTACTACTGAGGTACTTCCTATGCCCTGGAGATCTACTTTATTATTTAAATCATACTAGTATACAAATTCTTGATAATGTTGGGTTTCATCATACATTAGAAAGTAACCAAATTTCTGGGTTTTGTTTTTTTTTCCCACCAGACCTGGGAGTTGAACCCAGGGGCACTTAACCATTGAGCCACATAAACAGCTCCCCCCYGACACACACACACATTTTTTTTTTTATTGGTGCATTATACTTTCATATTGATGGAATTTATTACTACATATTTATACATGCRTACAATATGATAATATAATTTGACTAATATCACTCTTTACTACTTCCTTTCCCTCTACCCCTTATCCTTTCCTCTACTGATCTCCCTTTGATTTTTAGGAGATCAACCCCCACCTTTGTTTTCCTTTTTCCTCTCTAGCTTTTGCATATGAGTGAAAACACAGGACCCTTAACCTGAGTTTGACTTATTTTGCTTAACATGATGGTTTCCAGTTCCATCCATTTTCCTGCAAATGGCATAACTTCATTCTTTATAGCTAGATAAAACTCCATTGTGTATCTGTATCACATTTTCTTTATCCATTCATCGTTGATGAACAACTAGGCTGGTTCCATAGTTTGGCTATTGTGAATACTGAGAATACTGAGAAGTGGTATAGCTGGGTCAGCTAGGAACACTTTTACACTGTTAGTGAGACTATAAATTAGTGCACCCACTGTGGAAGTCAGTATGGAGGCTCCTCAAAAGACTAGATTCTACACTGATTTCCATAGTGATTGTACTAATTTATAGGCTCATCAAGAGTGCAAAAGTGTTCCTTTCTCTCCACATCCTCTCTAGCATTTATTATTATTTGTATTATTATTTTTATTTTTTTTGGTACTGGGGATTGAAGCCAGGGGAACTCTAACCACTGAGCCACATCCCCAGACCTTTTTATATTTTATTTAGAGACAGGTCTCGATAAGTTGCTTAGAGCCTCACTAAGTTGTTGAGGCTGGCTTTGAACTCGTGATCCTCCTGTCTTAGCCTCTCAAGCTGCCGGGATTACAGGTGTGCAACACTGTGCCCAGTTATTATTTGTATTCTTTTTTTTTTTTTTTGTACCAGGGATTGAAGTTGGGCATTTGACCATTGAGCCATATCCCCAGCCCTATTTTGTATTTTATTTAGAGATAGAGTCTCATGGAGTTGCCTAGCACATTGCTGTAGCTAAGGCCAACTTTGAACTCGAAATCCTACTGCCTTAGCCTCCTGAGCATGAGTGCTGCTGGGATTACAGGTGTGCACCACTGCGCCCTGCTTCCTATTTGTATTCTCGCTGACAAGAATACAAATAATAATAATCCCATATGGATACATATCCTTTAAAAAATAGTCTTTATTTTTGTGAACATATGTTACTAAATTTTTTTCTAAAACATTTTTAATGGCTTTAGAGAATGCCAATATTCATTTGAATGAATATAATGTACAACAAACATTTGGTGTACATCCTTGGTAAATTTTTGTAATTGTTATTACAAAAAGTATGTAGGATAATTATTACTAATGTCAGTTTGAGTCTGAAGCATATTCAAAATAATTCTTTTGGACAAGCACAACATTCTTTGTTTTCCCCTTTAGATTCCTCCTTCAGTGCAGTCACCAACACAGCAGCAGGTACTTGCTAGACCTGTGGGTCCCTCTGTGCCAGGGCCGCCACCTTTTGTACTTCAAAATCAATATGAACCTGTTCAACCCCACTGGTTTTACTGCAAGGAGGTAGAATATAAGCAACTATGGATGCCTTTCAGTGTGTTTGACTCTTCAAATCTTGAAGAAATTTATAATTCTGGTAAGTACCTATCATGGATCATTTGTTTCCAGGAAGAGAAGGAATGAGATGTGATACTAATGTAAATCACAAGTTATCTGAGCAAGGTATCTGAAGAACTGGTTTAGTAAATTGTTTAAAGGTGTTTTAAATCAGAGAAGTAGAGTAGGTCATAWAATCCAAGTTTCAGTTTTCTATTTTTCTTATTGTAGTTTTGAATAAAAGCATTTTCTGTGGAATTCTTATTCTGGAATATTGGCTCTGTGAAAAAAGTGTTGCATGGTCAGATTGGTTTGAGAATTCTGCTTCTATATCCATCTTGAGAGATGATGCACAGGAATGCCTTAAGGCTCTGAGAAATATGTAGAAATATATTTCTTTGTTTATTATGTGATTATGGGTTTTGAAATCATGTATTAACTCTGGAAACACTTTATGGAGCATTGCTGTTTGTAAATATTTACTGCTTTGATTAAAAAAAAAAATCCATGTGTTATTTGTTTTATGATCACATTTTTAAAGTTTGCCCTGGCTATTTCTTTTCCACTTAAGAAGAGTCGTGATTTTAAACAGTACAGATTAGTCTTAAACTTCTTTTTTTTTTTTAAGTGAGCTCAGTTTTTAATCTTTAAGCATTGATTAGTTACTGCATTCTCATTAATCATTTTTAAATATGCCTCATAACTTTTGGGGAAAATGTGTTCTTTGTTGTTTAGTCCAGCCAGATCCTGAGAATGTGATCCTAGGTACAGATGGAGGGCGCTATGATGTTTACCTCTATGACCGAATGAGAAAAGCCGTGTACTGGGAGGAGGAGCCTGCTGAAGTGAGACGCTGTACTTGGTTTTACAAGGGGGACACAGATAGCAGATTTGTTCCCTATACAGAGGAGTTCAGTGAAAAACTAGAGGTATGAGTGCTTTATTCATATAATGCTTTTCATGCAAATCCTGTAAGCATTGGAACCTTATGTGACATCACTCACTGGAGTTGATTTTTATTTGCAAGGTAGCCTGTCTTGATGCTGTTTACAAAAGATGATTGCTTTTAAAGTGGTGCCAGCATTCATGATGTGCTTATTGTAGCTTCCATGTCTAAAGTTAGATTTCTGTGTTTTTCAGGGGCACATCATAGATCTAATAAGCTGTTTATATYAGACCTTCAAAAGAACTTAAACAGGCCCAGTGACATGCCCGTAATCCCAACAGCTCGGGAGGCTGAGACAGGAGGATCGAGAGTTCAAAGCCAGCCTCAGCAATAGTGAGGCGCTTAGAAACTCAGTGAGACCCTGTCTCCAAATAAAATATAAAATAGGGCTGGGGATGTGATTCAGTGGTTAAGTGCTTCTGAGTTCAATCCCCGGTACCAATAAATAAATAAATAGTCATTAAAAAAAACAACAACATAGGATGCAGGGATTTGATGTTGACAATAGATGCGAGGCATTGAGACATTTTTCATATTAATATTTAGTAAAGCTTGAAAATAAATTATCATTTGTGACAATAAATATGAAACAGAATAGAAAGAAATATCAGTAGACTTAACCATCTTAAAACTGGTGGTTATAGCTGGGTGCGTATATGCATGTCTGTAGTCTCAGAGACATGGGAGGCTGAGGCGGAGGATTGCAAGTTTGAGACTCTGTCTCATAGTAAAAAGAGCTGGGAATGTATAGTGCTCCTGGGTTCAGTCTCCAGTATAACAACAAAAGAAAATCCAAAAAAACTACTGGTTAAAATTTTTGTATGTAATTGTGTCAATTTATTATAATAATTCTACTTTATAAAGTAGAATTGTTGAGTGTTAAATATTTGAAAAGTTAAATGAATTTAGTCGCATACTTGGGAAGTTAGAACATTTTAGTTGATTTTTTTTTTTTAATTCAGTAATTCTTCAAGCTTGTAGAAAACACCATGGGCCTCTAAAATATTAATTGTATTTTGAATAATTTTAAGCAAGGGATAAGGCTTGTATTTTGTTTAGGAGCTGACTGTTCAAATATCATTATAAAATTAATAATTTTTTCCCTTGAGGAACATATAATATAAAAAAATTTAACCATAGTCTTATCACTTTTTCAAATTATACTCTATTTAAAAAAAATGTTTTCTAGGGCCTGGGGTTGTAGCTCATTGGTTGAGTACCTGCCTACCATGTGTGAGGCACTGGGTTTGGTTCCTCAGCACCACATAAAAATGAATAAATAAAATAAAGGTGTTGTGTCCATCCACAACTTTAAAAAATTAAAAAGATACATCTACATTAAAAAAATGTTTTCTAGATTGTTCTTCATCTATCCGTGTACATATTTTTTTCTAACAATTATAGATTTTTTTTGTGTGTGGGTATCTTGCTTTTTTTTTTTTTTATGTAGCAGGGATTGAACCCAGGGTCACTTAATCACTGAGCCACATCCCTAAACTTTTTTATTTTATTTTTTTAAATTTTAGGCAGGGCCTTGCTAAGTTGCTGTGGCTGGCTTTGACCTTGTGACCCTTCTGCCTCAGCCTCCCTATTTGCTGGGATTACAGGAGTGCACCACTGTACCCAATTCTGCCCCTAAATTTTAGATGAAAGATCAAACTAGTAAAAGTAACTAAGACCAATTGAAAGTATTGCTTTCGTGATCTTACTCTCCAGAAAAGATGTACTATAAGTTATGTATTATATGTAAGTACTGTAAGTTATGTATTAAAAGGGAGTTTAAAGTGAAAATAATTCTTAAGAGGGTGAACCTTTTCTTTCTTCCATTTTTGTGGTATATTTATTTATAAATAAATAGGTTAAAAATTAGAAAAAAATGAAAAGGTCAAAAGTACAGAATCCTGATGAAGAGGGATTGTTACTGAATGATTGCCCAGGACACAAAAAGAAAGACTTATATTTTGATGTGGTTCTCAAATAATCAATTACTAAATATATATATATATATATATTTTTTTTTTGCCATACGGGGGATTAAGCTCAGGGCCTCATGCATGTTAGGCAAGTGCTCTATGACTGAGCCCATTACTAAAAAAAAAAAAAAAAAAAAAACTCTAGCAATCTATACTTGTGAATTAGCAAAATTAAAAAACAGACATTATAGACTGGGTATGTCAGGGGTTCCCCATTACCTCCTGTTAAATCTGTCTTCAAGAGGCCTTCAGACCTTTACAGAAAGCAGAATAATGTATCTGAAGGAGGAGAAAGAGTAAGAAAATGGTTGCACAGTCAATATTTGGGAGTTGGAAAGTCTTGGATGGGAGTGAACCACCATTCTACTATTTGCTCCTAACTGGTTGTGTAATCTTTTTTTTTTTTGTGGTGGTAATGGGAATTGAACATAGGGGTACTTTACCACTGAGCTATATCCCCAWCCCTTTATCTATTTATCTATTTATCTATCTATCTATTTATTTATTATTTTGTGACAGAGTGTCACTAAGTTGCTTAGGGTCTCATTAAGTTGCTGAGGCTGGCCTTGAACTTGGATCCTCCTGTCTCAGCCTCCTAAGTTGCTGAGATTGTAAGTRTACACTACCACACTCACTTGATTATATGATCTTATGTAACTGTGTGCAGTGCATAAACTGCCTGTTATGCGTTGAATAGTGTTCCCTTCCCCTTTTGTCCCCAAATCATATGTTGAAGTTCTAACCACCAGTACCTCAGAACATGAGCTTAATTTGAAATAGTGTCACTGCAAATGTAATTAGTTAAGATGAGATCATACTTGAGTAGGGCAGACCTCTGATCAGTCTGGTGTCTTCATAAAAAGACAGTCATGTTAAGACAGAGCGGGGCATGCCACATGATGATGGAGGCTTAGATTGGAGATCATTGCAAGCCAGAAATGCCAAAGGTTGCAGGCAACCACCAGAAACTGAGAAGAGGCAAGGGGGATTTCTTTACTTGTTTCAGAGGGACCAGAGCCCTCCTAACACCTTGATTTTTGGACTGCTAGCCTCCAGAAATTTTGTTTTAAGCTGCCCAATTTGTGGTACTTTGTGTTTGAAACTTCAGAAACTAATTCACTGTCCAAAACCTTGGTTTTCCTTTCTACACAGTGGGGACAATAATATTTAGAAATGATTGAGAGTAATTACTTAAATGAGGTAATTATATATAAAGTAATTAAAAAGTAGGGTTACAGTAAATCAGAGCTGCTATTTTTGTCACAATCCTGGTTTTCCTTGTGCCCCACACTCTTGATGTGATACAGATTTGTCATACTGGATTATATGCTTTTTACTTTATCGTAGGCAGAATATAAAAAAGCTGTAACCACAAATCAGTGGCACCGCAGATTAGAGTTTCCAAGTGGAGAGACCATTGTTATGCACAATCCAAAGGTAATGTTGCTTAAAGTGTGAGGTTCATTTTAATCATTACTTTGCTGTATGGGTGTGATTTTTCAGTGAAACTTTTTTATCCTGGGGGCCATAATGTGCTTATCTGCCCTTGATGGTTTGTTTTAACCTTTCAAGTAAAAAAAAAAAAAAGTATGCTTTCTTTTTCTTTTTTTTATTGTCTCCATAAACTTTTCTTGTTTTCAAAAATAATTGATTAGTAGTGTTTTCATTCTTTGATTTACCACATTTAATTTCTCTGATCCCCAGGTCCTTGCCTCCAGTAATGTTATTCCACATGAATTTTTAGATGAAATAATTTATGCAAAGCATCTAGAACAGGGCTTGGCTATGGTAGCTTCTGAGAACATAGACTTTTTATTCATTTATTTTTAAAGAAAAATATAAAAGAAAAGTAAGTCATCCTAAACACTTTTCTAGTCCTTATTGATACCAGTGTAAATAAAAAATTCATATGTTCACAATAAATTTAAACAGTATAAAATAGTATCAAGTGAAAAATGAGAACCTCCTACTTTTTGTTTTTTTACATGAACATAGACTTACATAAAATTATCCATATGTTCTTTTTTTTTTTTTTTGAAAGAGAAATTTCTGTATGGCACAGGGCTGAATTTAATCAGTTGACTTAATGATAGATTTCTTCCTGAAAAGTGGTCGGTTTAAGTTTTTGTAGTTGAGACTGAATTCGTAAATTAATTGGGAATCTTGCCATTTAATACTGCAACTAGATTATAAGCTGGCTTACTATGAGGCATATTTTCTATGTATTAAAATACATTGCTTAGCCTGCATTGGAAAAGAATGTGCCATTGAGCTTTGTCATAATCCTATTGTATCTTGAAGGTTATTGTTCAGTTCCAGCCTTCTTCAGTGCCCGACGAGTGGGGGACCACACAGGATGGACAGACAAGGCCCAGGGTTGTAAAACGTGGGATTGACGACAACCTTGATGAGATTCCTGATGGTGTGTATAGTTTGTTGGGAGTGGAGTCTTTTTTAGTCATCYCTATTGGAACATCATTCTTTAGAAAGATAAAAGAAGAAATACTTATTAGGATTATCTACTATAGTATGCAGAAATCAGCCAATTTCACACATATCTTTCTTATTTAATACTTTTATATCTTTATTTTTAAATTTATAATTCTGGCACAATGATGTACATCTGTAATCTCAGTGACTGAGGAAGACTGAGGCAGGAAGATTGCAAGTTTGAAGCCAACTTCAACAAGACTCTCAGCAACTTAGTGAGACCTTTTCTCAAAAAAAAAAAAAAGGATTCAGGATATTACTCAGTAGTAAAGCACCCCAGGTTTAATCCCCAGTACCAAAAATTTTTTTAAAAATAAAAATAAATAGTTGGGCATGGTGACTCAGATCTATAATCCCAGTGACTTAGGAGGCCAAGGAAGGAAGATTAGAAGATCACAAGTTCAAATAGGGAGACCTTGTCTTAAAATAAAAAGGGCTGGGAATGAAGTTCAGTGCTAACTCCTGGGTTCAATCCCCAGTACCAAGATAAATAAGTAAATAAATAAATTTGGAATTCTGTTGAATATTTGCACACCACATAATATAGATTCTAAATATGTATTCTGAAGAATCATTTTTGCTGGTTGGAACTAAGATTTTGGGGTTGTGCTTTCATACATTTTCATACATCATGTTACTCTAGCATGGGGATTGGCAAACTTTTAGGCTTTGCAGGTCATGTGGACTCTTCCCACCGCTCAGCTTTGCCATTGTAGTTTGAAAGTGTTTCTAGAATGTATTTAGACAAATGGACATAGCTGTGTTCCAGGAAAACTTTATTTACAAAAACAGATAGTGGGCAAGATTTGGCCTGTAGACCRTAGTTTGCCAACCCCTGCCCTAGTGTATGTGCTTTGGTTTCCCCTAAGAAGAGTGGGTTTTATTTTGATAATTACACATATTTCATTTTTGTCTAATAAAATTATAAAATGGGTATTATTAAATCTGAGTGAAAAAAAGATTTGATTTGGAAATGTTCCTATAGTACTTGTGAATCAAGGTATAGAGTTCTGGGGAAAGTTTTGAAAGTATTATTACTGATTTTATGTAGTAGGATTGAAACCAGGGACTTGTGAATGCTAGGAGAGTGCTACTGCCAAGCTATGTTGCCAGACCCTTAAAGTTTCATATTGATAGTTCGCTTCTCAAGGTGGGGCTTAGTGTTCTGGGGAGGTGTATTTTATTTTTATTTTCTTTGCTAGTGCTGGGATTGAATGTCGGGCCTTGTATGTACAAGCACTTTACCACTGAACTATACCCCCTGCCCTGAGGAATTCTGAAATGATCACAACATTATGGAGCCTCCATGTGTACGAAACTGCTGGTTACCATATATTGATAGATAGCCTTTTGGAACAGGTAGTCTGCTTCCTCCCCATATCAGTCTAGTGTCCTGTTAATGTGCCAAGATGGACAAATTGCTCTGATTTGATAGAGGATAACAAGTCTTATTTACTTGGAAGAGTCATGAATTTCTTTGGCCAGTTTATGATGACAAAAGGGATATCAAGAATTTTGCTATTAAGAAAACCCAAACAGGGGCTGGGGCTGGGGCTCAGCGGTAGAGCGCTCGCCTAGCATATGGGAGGACCTGGGTTCGATCCTCAGCACCACATAAAAATAAAAAAACAAAATAAAGGTACTGTGTCCAACTACAACTAAAAGTAAATATTAGAAAAAAGAAAACCCAAACAATTCCCAGTTTTATTTATGTATATATAATTTTATTTTTAAACAGGGGAAATGCCTCAGATTGACCATTTGGTATTCATGGTGCATGGTATTGGACCTGTGTGTGACTTGCGCTTTAGAAGCATTGTTGAATGTGGTAAGTGTTAGTCATAGTTTATTTCATATAATGATCTGAGAACTAATAGAAGAGTTTTAAGTTTCATTTTTAGTTCCTGGCCACTTGCTAAAGAGTAGTAAATATTTATATGATCAGTGGAAAATACTAATTTGTACTTGATTTTCTCTTACCATATAAATAACTCGTAGAATCCTGAGTTCTAAAGAATTAGGAGGGATCTTGGAAGTTAGCCTTTCTGACAGGCAGCCTCTGACTGAGTACTTCCARCAACTTTGAGCACCTTTGCACTGAACTGATTTATAGGGAGACAGTTGTGAAAAGTTGCTTAATGAACTCATAAATCTGCCTGGATGACTTAAAATTTTTGAAAGTTCATTTTTATATCTGTATACTAATAGTTTATATTTACTGAATACCTGATATGTGCCAAGTACCTTGTATGTAGTGTGTCATTTAACCYTCACAGATACAATGGTGGGGTGTAGGTGCTATTATTGTTATCCCCCACTGTTAGGTGGAGAACTTAAGGCCCAAGGGTAAGTTCAGTTCCTTTGTGTCATAGTCAGTAACAGGTATTGGCTCCAGGACCCCACAGCAGGTAGTTTTGATTCTAGTCTTTGGGTCTTAACCCATTGTGCCATGCTTCCCCCTAGTAGAGGCATTTAAACTAAGTTTTTTTKGGGCATTTATACATTCCTCTAAAACAATGAGAAGTTAAAAGAGCTTCCTAAAGGTTGGTTATTTTTTCCTAATTTTGTCATCATTTAAAAAATTTTATTTGTAAATGCTGACATTTGATATAATTGTTAACTAGCTTCAAAGGTAAGACAATTTAATCAATTTAATTTTTTTTAAACTTTTCCCTTTAATGATTTCAATGCCCTAAACAACAAAAACTGAAATAAAAGCTCTTTGAACTCTAAAAAACAAAATAATAAAACACATTGAATTTTAGGTAGAGGAAAGTGACTATAATGCACCTTTTCAAGAAAACGGTATGTGAATGAGAGTATATAATATTTTCTAAAAGGCAATTTTCAAAAAAAAWAAATAAATAAATAAAAGGCAATTTTCATGAAATAATTTAATACTAGAAGTGTTACTGTTGTATATCAACATAATAAAATAATTAACCTTATCTTATGTAAGGATTGGGAAGAAAATGATGTAAAATTTCATTTACATTTTGTTTAATGACATTTCTTTTAAGGAAACTTATGTGGAAAAGTTTAAAACATTCTTAAGGGAAACTATATTGAATGAATAGAAAATTCATGCTATTGAATAAGACTCAATATTATGAATATGCCAGTTATATCATTAGATTATTAAAAGTATACAAAGTTTTATTTTATAAAATAAAATTTTATATTTGGAAGCAAAAAGAAAATCTTACAGATGGCCTTGTGGCTCAGTGGTAAGAGAACTTGCCCAGCGAGTGTGAGGCACTGGGTTTGACACTCAGCACAACATTAATAAACACACACAATCACATATATTATACTAAAAAAGAAAAGAAAATCTTACAGAGTAGCAAGAATGTGAGTGAGTGAGTCCTATCAAATATTAAAATAAAACATAGGGCTGGGGATACAGAAACCTGGGGTTTGATTCCCAGCACTACATAATAAAACAGCAAGGAAACAAAAATGGCATAGAAAAAGTATAAAGAGGGGCTGGGGTTGTGGCTCAGTAGTAGAGTGATCGCCTAGCACATGTGAGTCACTGGGTTTGTACCTCAGCACCACATGAAAAATGAAATAAAGTATTATGTCCACCTACAACAACAACAACAACAACAACAACAAAAAGCATAAAGAAAAATGATCTGGGAAAATAATTTGCAAATTATAAACCAGGCAAACTTTTAGTAGCATTGATATATAAAAACAGGAGAGAGAAAAAAAAGTTAAGAACGATCCCATAGAAAAAATGTCTTGCAAGAGCTACCAAAGGATTTACTACAATATAAAAAAGGGGCTGGGTTCAGTGGTGCCCACATATAGTTCCAGCACTCCGGAAGTTGTGGTAGGAGGGATGCTTGCCTGCAAAAGGTAGCAACAGCTATGWCAAGGTCAAAACTCTTCTCAAAACAAAAATCCAATGGCAAGTGGCTCCTGACCATTTGAAAAAATACTGGTTCATAATAAGATGCAATTAAAATTATGCTGATGACATTAATAGACAAAAATTCAAATTTGACAACATAATCAATGGCTAGAGAGGAGTAAAAGCAAATATTCTCTTATTTTGAATTGAACAAATACAAAATGATACAAATTCTTTTGAAGTACCATTCTTTGTGCTATAACTACTTTCCTGTGCATGTTTGTATACCTGGCAATCTGGAAGGTTGAGGCAGGAGATCACAATCTTAAAGTTAGCCCCAGAAATTTAGCAAGGCCCTAAGCAATTTAGCAAGATCTGTCTCAAAATTAATCAATTTAATTTTATGTGTTTTTTTTTTTTTTGTTTGTTTGTTTTAAGTGGATGATTTTAGGGTGGTTTCTCTCAAATTGCTGCAGACACATTTCAAGAAATCTTTAGATGAGGGGAAAGTCAGCCGAGTGGAGTTCCTCCCAGTTCACTGGCACAGTGCCTTGGGTGGGGATGCAACAGGTGTTGACAGGTTTGTAGATTTTCATCTTATTTTTCAGATTAGTTAAACCTAGATTCAAAATTTAAACAGTAATATGAAGTGGTTTATTATGACTTCAACAAATGTTTTTTTTTTTTTTTTTTAATTACATACTTCCTCTGACATGTGATTACTGACTATACCATTTATATACCATTTYTCTCTGTGTGTTTAAGTGAATCTAAGAAATTTAGCTGGTTTTGATAATCATTTTTGGACCTGGACATTGAACCCATTCCTCAGGTGTGTTAAGCACATGCTCTACCACTGAGCTGTCTCACTGGACCCTAAGATGATTTTTATGAAATACTAGTATATGGTGGTTTAGACAGGGTGCTGTCCTGTACATTTTAGGGTGCTTAGCAGCATCCTTGGCTAAATAATGGTAGKGTGTCTTTCCCTCACCATGTGACAACCAAAAATATCTCCAGAAACTTCCATGTCCCTGGGGGGTAAAGTCACCTATGGTTGGGAACCTCTGATGTAGACTTATTGTTTCTCAATGGAGAATACTCTTGACAGTAGTGCAGTTCTTTGTGGCACAACTATGTTACATTGTAGACCACTTAGCTTCTCTTGTCTGAATGCTACTCARTGGTAGCAATGCTCACCAGGAACTGTGATAAATTCAACAAACACCCCACTGAATTTTGAATATGCCCATTTGAGAGCCACAAATACAGGCTATATTAATGCTGGCACAGAGGTTAATAGCATCTGGATTTTAAATAAATGTTTAAAATAATGTTTTAGTGCACATGGTTTTAATAAAACCAATTGTACAAACAGCATTCTGTTAGTGTTAGGTTTTATGAGGGCATTTTCTTTCTCAGTGGATGTTCATGAACTTCACTGATAATTAATTAATAATGTACTAATCAGTTAAACGTTTTTACTCTATTTTTTCAGAAATAAGAAATTAAAACTTTTAAAAACCCTTAGATTGAAGGTACTGACTTTTTTTTGTTTTTAAACAGGAATATCAAGAAAATCACTTTGCCAAGTATTGGTCGTTTTCGTCACTTTACCAATGAGACCTTGCTAGATATTTTATTTTATAATAGCCCCACCTACTGTCAAACAATTGTGGAGAAAGTGGGAGTGGAAATAAATCGTCTCTATGCACTCTTCATGAGTCGGAATCCAGACTTCAAAGGAAGAGTCTCTGTTGCTGGTCACAGTTTAGGTAAAGCTGTTAAATACACACCTTATAAATGTGATGTTTAAGTTGTTAGTTCTTTTATTGTGGATAACATCCTTAGTATGGAACTCAGAATTATACATCTTAACTTTTATAAAGGGCAGAAATGAATGCTTTGAGTTTACAGTCTGCCTTTTTTCTTCACATGATTCATAGGACTGCCATATATTTTAACTTATTCTGCTGTTCGGTAGAAGAATATTGATTATCAGATCTTATGTGTAATTTTCGGAGGACTTCTGCCTAGGGACTTTGAAAGAAAGGAGAATTTGTTTAGTATTATAAAAACACCCAGAAAGTGCATTATAAARCAAAATACTTCTTTTTCTTAGGTTCTTTAATATTGTTTGATATCCTATCTAATCAAAAAGATTTGAATTTCTCCAAGTCTCCGGGACCTCCTGCTGTTGCTAATGGAGTTGTGAAGCAGCCCCATTTTCAGGACAAGCAGGTATGTCTGCACCTGATCCTGTTACCATTAGGTTTAGAGCTGGAACTGAAATTTTTTCTGAAACTTTTTATTTATCAAAAGGTTAAGAAGTATAATGGAGTCATGTGACTCATTTTAAACATTTCTCTTTTCCTTATGGATTATAAGTGTAAATGTGAAAGTTTATGGTTTTTAAAAATACAAAGAAAATTATAGAAAATAGGAATGTGAGTGATTGATAAGTTTATGTATGTTTTGAAACATTCAAGCATTGGGTGGCAGACTACCTAAAATTTTGATTTGTCTATAGGGTAGAATTTTTTAAAGATTTTTCTATAAATCAGAAGACATTTTATGGGAGTTTTTCTGAGCTTTGTAATGTTTCCTCCTTTTTTTTTTTTTTTTTTTTTTTTTATTAAGATGCACGAAGAGTCAAAGCTGGCTTTGGATGATTCATGTGACCTTGATGTTGAAAATGAAGAAGTCCTAACTTTGCAAGAAACTCTGGAAGCACTTAGCCTCTCTGAATATGTTAATACTTTTGAGAAGGAAAAGATTGATATGGAATCTCTGGTACTGATGTTAATTGGATTCATTTTTTTAAAAATTATTTTTCCTATGTGTAAGATTGAAAACTAAGAATGATTTAGAATATTGCTTATGTCAAAATTTATTCCTGATGAGGCAGGAATAAATGTTTAATGTTTAAATGTTTAAAAAATTCAAAAGAACAGGAATTATTAATGAACAGTACCTGTGAAAGCTTTTCTAAGTATGACACAAAATCCAGAAATCATAAAAGAAAAAGAAGTGCAGCGCAGTAGGTACCATAAGTTACATTGCAGGCTAATGATGGATGGGGAAACATAGATGGAGCACACATTACAAATAGAGGACTTTAGTATTCAAAGCTTCTGCAAAACTATTGGTAAGAAAGTAATAGTTCAGACAAAGGATATAAAAGTGATTTGTAGACCAATGACTTCATACCATGTGAATACTCAGAAGAGAAATACAAATTAAAAGTGCAGTTCTTTTTTTTTTTTTTTTTAACTTCTGAGTTTGACAAAAATAGATTGGATAATATGCCAGGATAGGGAAAAGTAGGTACTATTATTTATTATTGGTGAGCATGTAAATTGGTACAGCCTCTATGGAGGTCAATTTTGCAACATCTGTTTTTTTTTTTAAAATAACTTTATTTTTTTCTGTGATGCTAAGGATTGAACCCAGTGCCTTACACATGCTAGGCAAGTGCTCTACCACTGAGCCACAACTCCAGCCCTACAACATCTTTTAATTAATTAATTAATTAATTGTTTTTTGACATGGTCTCACTGTGTTGTCCAGGCTGGTATCCAACTCTTGGGTTCAAGTAATCCTCCCATCTCAGCCTCCCAAGTATTTGGGGTTACAGCCAAGTATGTGCCACTGCACCCAGCTCTGAAATAAACACCTTTTAAAATACCCTTTTCCCTGGGAATTTTATTGCTAAACATATTTCCTTTTCGTCTTTTTGYATACCAGGGATTGAACTYAGGGACACTCAACCACTGAGCCACAACCCAGCCCTATTCTGTGTTGTATTTGGAGACAGAGTCTCACTTAGTTGCTTAGCACCTCACCTTTGCTTAGGCTGGCTTTGAACTTGTGATCCTCTTCTCTCAGCCTTCTGAGCTCCTGGGATTACAGGTGCTCCACTGTGTCTGGCCAGAAATATGTTATATAGAGAAATATTCACATAAGAATATCTAGGAGGACCAAGCAACTAGTGAGACCCGGTCTCTAAATAAAATACCAAAAGGGGGCTGGRGTTGTGGCTCAGTTATAGAGTGCTTGCTAGCATGTGTGAGGCACTGGGTTCAATCCTCAGTACTTTATAAAAATAAATAAATAAAATAAAAGTATCGTATCCATCTAAAAAAATTAAAATAAAAAATAGGGCTGGGATGTGGCTCAGTGGTTGAATGTCCCTGAGTTCAATCCCCAGTACTTAAAAAAAAAAAAAAAAAAAAAATGTGAGGACACGTGATGCAGAGCTATTGCTAACATAGTGAAAACTTAGGAACACCTTCCGTACCTACTAGTAGAAATTAGTCCATTGTCAGTGGGCATCAACACACAGCAGAGTGGCAAATTTGCATTGTGAATGGATGAATGAGGTGGTCACAGGTATACTGATCTCTTAGATACATCTGGTGAAACTTTATTCTTAAAGTTCAGTGCTGTGTGTGTATAAGATACACACATAAACATATAAATATACATGTAGATGCTATGTGCACATGAAATATCTCTGCAGGGAAGCGAATTATGAGCAGGTGTTGCTGAGAGGTGAGTCGGGTGGTTGAGGCAGGAATGGAAGGAAATGACTATTGTGTGCTTGATTGTACTTTGGAATTTTGAACAACATGTACATATTTTCTATTAAAAATAATAGGGGGCTGGGGTTGTGGCTCAGTGGTAGAGCACTTGCCTAGCATGTGTGAGGCACTGGGTTCAGTTGTCAGCACCACATAAAAATAAATGAAATAAAAGCCCATCAACAACTAAAATAATAATAATAGGATGTTTTAGGTGGACAGGGATAAGATTATATAGCTTAAAATAATCTATTATTTAAAAACAAATTAACTTAAAAGTTGGCTCTTAGGTTGTTTTAGATGATGTCTTTTATAATTTTCACATTCTAATTTCAGTTCGTCTACCTCTAAAATGATTAATAATGTGCTTGTTTCTTTTTAAAGCTTATGTGTACAGTTGATGACCTGAAGGAAATGGGAATACCCCTTGGACCCAGGAAGAAGATAGCTAACTTTGTAAAACTTAAAGCAGCCAGATTGGTAACGTTCATTTCTACTCTCAATGTGTGACCAGCACATTTTGYTTTAGAAGTGTTTAGTACCGCTGTGGTTAGGCAAGTTTGTTTGCACCTATCTATAGCATGGTAATGGAGCTATGGAAACCACACTTGAGTTTGTCAGAACTGGGTTTAAATCCAAATCTGGCCAACTGACCATCCTTGTTTTCCTGGGACCAAAGACTTTGCAGRCCAGAGGTTTTTTGTTTTTAAACTGGTGAAGTACTGGTCAAATAGATGAGTTGGTTGCCCTGACTCCCAGTTCAGACACTTATTAACTGCACACTCATGAGACATTGGTTTAGTTTCTCTGATCTCTGATTTCCTTCTTTCTAAAGTGGGAGAGGTAGATAGGTTGGAGTGATACAGAAATGATGTATGTGGTCACACCTGCAGCAGCTTACTTGTTCTTTCTCCCCATCTAGAGAGTTGAGGAAGCATGTACTGAAATCTCACTAAGTAACAACTACACAACAAATTTTACTGCACAACAAAGCAACAACTAAAAATCATTTTTAAAAAAGCAGCTTGGTGTGGTGGTGCACGCCTGTAATCCCAGCAACTAGGGAGGCTAAGGCATAAGGATCACAAGTTTGAGGCCAGCCTCTATAACTTAGTGAGGCCCTAAGCAAATTAGTGAGACCCTGTCTCAAAATAAAAAGAAATGGGGATGTGGCTCAGTGGTTAAGCATCTGCCCCCCCAGTACCAAAAAAACCAAACCAAACCAAAACAAAACAACAAMAAAAAATCTTTGGAAAAACTTGTGGTCTCTGATGGTTCTGGCATCTTGGTTTCTGTTTTTACAATGCTGGGAATTGAATCCTGGGCCTCATACATGCTAGGAATGTGCTTTGCCACTGAACCACACTCCCAACCCTGATCCTTTCCATTTGATCATCTCTGGTTCTCTTGTTTTGGGTACTTATTTGGAAGTTAACATTTACCACTTCTTTATATGAAATATGATTAGAAATTGATTTTTTAATGATTAGCTTAAGGAATTGAGTCAGCATTTTACTAAACATCTAGGTCAGACATGATGCTTGAATCTTGGGGTTTGGAGATGAACCACAAGTGTGCAGTCCAGTTAGTCCAGTTAGCGTAAAGAGTTGACCACAAGTGACCACATACGAGGTGCTGTGTGCACGTCCCGAGGCAGACCAAGGGTGGCAGTTCTGCTTGTGGAGAGGGGACCGTGGTTTACTGAGCAGGAGAGGGAGTAGGAGTGAAATGGCCCCCCAGGAGCAGGCTGGTGTTCCCCACAGCCGAAATGTCAGGTGAGCTGGGAATGGAGAGGAGGGAAGGCTGCAGAGGCCCAAGTACCAGGTGGAAGTTTGGATTCTCTTTTATAAAGGAGTGGTTATTAGATACAGTTTTACAGCTGTGAAAGTCATGGTGCTGATTTGCTGGTTAATTCTGTGAAAAGTTATGGTTTAGCACCAAATCTACTATTTAGTCTAAATTTTAGTTTTAACTTGCTTAGAAATTAAAAAAAAATTAAAAATAAATGCCATAAACTATATTATAAATAAAATAACCATGAGTTATTTATAATGAATGGAAATTTTAAGGTATTAACTCTTCTATTTTCTTAAATTATTATTTGCCTTCTTTTGCTGTTGACCAGGGCCTGTTGGTTTATAGAGAATACCAAAGGCAAACAAAAATAAAACTTGTAACAAATCTTAATATTGAGACAGGCCTGTTATCAGCTTGATTTTTTTCCCCCTGTGAATTGAGCCACACTTTCCCTTTAGCAGCAGTAAATCCTTGCTTCAGGGTCTGCCTGGATGCCACTTGAGAACCTTGCCATGCTTAGGCCATTGGACAGTGGGAAATACCACAGGAAGAGTCCTCTTGGTTACCATGATCAGGTGTTGGAAGAGGATGAAGCTGGAGGCTGCTGGGAATTTGTAGAGGGGTTATTGGAATTGTGAGTGAGAGATGATTGTGAGTGAGTGGAATTGTGATTTGGGATATAAACTCTGAGATGGAAAGGAAAGAAGCAACTCTCAAAACCATCTGGAACAGAGCATACCATATTTGAGTTAAGTGTTGAGAAGGATTGTTCACTTGGCAGTTGAGGGGTGTCTTTCATCTTATTTTTTCTGTATGCTAAATCATTCTGTAGTTCGTCTCACCTGAATCCCTGGCAATACTGTGGGCAGATCCCTAGGTATTAATTTGTGATGAACTTGGTGGTTAAAYCAAGATTGGGATCCTGTGTTGTGGTGTTGCTGTTTGTAGACTGGGTGCTGCATGCCCACAGCAGTGAAGCARAGGCCTGTAAGCAAGGCAAAACCCAGAAGAGCTGTGTTTTAGGCCCTACGTCATATCCTTAATTTTATTCTGTAAAAAAGGATAAGTGGAAAAGTATTCTGTAGTTATTGAATAATTTCTAGGAGCCTGTTTTATAAACTACAGTTGCTTAGATATGTAAATTATGACATTATAAGGGTGTTTTGAAATGAATAAAAATCTATTTCATGATCTTATTTTTTAAATTTAAGAGTAATTTCCTTTGGATGAACTATGAAGTGTTCTTGGCTGAGCTACATTGATTGTTCTATGTTGCTCACAGATAACAAAGTGCTGCCAGATAAGATAATATATGGTGTGTCCTGTTGATTTACTATCACTGAAACAATGTGACCAAAATTAGCCAATTATTTTATAGTAAAGAGATCAAATATACATGGCCCATGTGCTGTTTTTCTTTGTAAATGGGTTTAGTGATTTTTCTTTTGAAAAGTAATAGTTTTTAGATTTTGCAGTATTGTTAAGTCAAGTATTTGTATGTTGATTCACTTAGTTTTAAACTTAATGCATAGAATTTTAGGGGAGCAAAATAGCTCTTGGCAATAGATCAGTTTATGATCTCTTGTGAGAACTCTATTTAGCAATGTGTAATGTCAAGTTTTATGAGTATAATAGGTGGTAGTTCTGAGTGAGAAGCATATTTAAGCTGAAGAACTCTGAAAATATTCTTTTTGGATTTCATCTTTAAACTTGTGCCGCCTCAGGGCTGGGGGTTGTGGCTCAGTGGTAGAGCGATTGCCTAGCATGTGTGAGGCACTGGRTTCGATCCTCAGCACCACATAATAATAAATAATTAAATAAATAAAGATATTGTGTCCATTTACAACTTAAAAAAACAAAAACAAAAACAAACAAAAAAACTTGTGCTGCCTCAAAAGGGAAGAAATAAACTTTCCAAAACACTGATGATAGAATCAGTTAAAATCTGGCTGAGTTTTCATTTTCCTATTTTGTCTCTTGGATTAACCAGTTGGATTTATGATTTCTTAGTACTTTAATTAGCAGATTGACCAGTTTGGCCAAATATTTTATTGAGTCAGTCTGTTCAGAAACTAATAAACATAGTTGCTTGGCATGGTGGTACATGCTTTATAATGCCTGTGACTCAGGAGGCTGTGCTGGGAAGAATGCAAGTTTGAGGCCAGCCTCAACAACTTAGTGAGGCCCTGAACAACTTAGCAAGTCTCTGTCTCAAATTAAAAATAAAAAGGACTGGGGATATAGCTCAGTGGTAAAGTACTTCTGGGTTCAGTCCCCAGTACCATACACAGACACACACTGAAAACACAGAGACCACCACACAGTCCTCAGCCTGGGGAAAAAATTGATGTATTTGCTCAACTTATGTTTTCTAGTGTTCACAATTCTTGCCTTGGGGAAAAATTCTTACAAAGATTGATCAAGTAGTTTATAATGCTGCATTTAACGTTATGCTTTCATATAGTTGTACCTCAAAAACAAAAACAAAAACAAAAACAAAAAACCTGCGGCATAGATGAGTTGCCCAAGACAAGGTTTACATTCGCCCAACATTGCTGAATTCAGGATGCAGTCACAACCGGGCATGGCTTTTGTTTATGGAAATGCACAGATCTTGAAAGTTTTGTACAGTAAGTTTTGGTGGTTGTATTCACTTGTGTAATCATGACCTGCAACAAAAACCCAACACATCTATCCATTAGGTAGCTCCTTATGCTTCTTTCYAGCTAACTCCTCCACCCTCCCTATAACCACTGTCCTGATTTCTAGAAATTCATCTGAGTAGAATCAACAGCATGTACTGTTTTGTATTTGCCCTCTTATACTTAAAATAATGTTTTTGAGGACTGGATATATAGATCTTAGTAGAATAATTGCCTAGCCTGCACAAGGTGCTGAGTTTGATTTTCAGCACTGCAAATACATAGAATTGCAAATCTTTAAAAACAAATAATATTTTAAGATTCATCAAGATAGCCAGTACTTACCTGGATATGGTAGAGCATACATGTAATCCCAGCTACTTGGGARGCTGAGACAGGAAGATCACARGTTCTCTGCCAGCCTGGACAATTTGGCARAACTGTCTCAAAATAAGAAATAAAAGGGGCTGGAGTATAGTTCGGTGGTAGTGCCCATGGGTTCAATCCCGAGTACTAGTTGGGGGAGCCGATACTTATGTTTAATTTTAATTATTTAATTGTAAACTAATTTTTTTCTTTTGTAATCTTTTTTTCTTAAGAATTTTAAAGTAAATTATAGATGCCATGGCATTTTTTCCCTAAATGGTTAGTTGTGTCCCAGAAGGACATTTCTCTCATGGCCCCAGTGCTATTATTATGCCTATGTTACTCATCATTCCTTAATATTGAGATGGCATGTTTTGCAGTGATAGATGAGAACTGAACTTATCCTCAAGATTATGTTGTGAAGTATTTGTGTTTCATAGGAACAGAAAAAAGCAGCATCAGAAAAGAAGGCAATGATGGCTGCTTCGACAAAAGGACAAGATGAAAGTGCTCAGAAAGCTAAAGAAGTGGCTTCTGTCCCTTCAGAATCTAGTGAATCTAAGAGGAAGCTTCCAGTTGGTGCTTACGTTTCTTCTGTGCACATTGATTATGAGTCTTTTGAAGTTGGCACTGGACAGGTGAGTTTACATTTTTTATGTTGGAATGAGCACATCTTTATCATTTGGATTGGTTGTAAATTCTTTAAATATTTATATAACATGTATTTGGGGCTGTGTGGAGAAAACTGATTTCCTTTTACTACTTAATGCTTTTTATAATGTTCCCAGTAAAAGTTTGAACCTGTATAGTACAAGACATCTACTTTTGAAGTTAGCTTTATTTCAGCTTTTTTAACACTCAAAAATTTTCTATTTTTTGTAYCAGAAATTGAACTGAGGGCCACTTTGCCACTGAGTTATATTCTCAGACCATTTTATTTTATTTTATTTTWTTTAAGTTTTAAGACAGGGAGGAATATTGCTGAGGCTGGCCTCAAACTTGTGATTCTCCTGCTTTGGCTTCCTGAATCACTGGGATTACAGGCGTGTGTCACTGTCCTGGCTTTACACTCATAATTTTATACCCTTAGTGTAATTATCACTAATCAGAAGTGGCTATGTTAGAAAACTATGTTTAGAATATACCTAAATTTCTGTGGGAGAAATTTGTTGTATTTGCTCAACTTATGTTTTCTAGTGTTCACAATTCTTGCCTTGGGGAAAAATTCTTATAAAAATTGATCAAGWAGTTTATAATGCTGCATTTAACGTTATGCTTTCATATAGTTGTATCTCAGTGGCTTAGAACTATTAAATTCCTTTTAGACAGCATTGTTTTCAATGTATTTACAGTTGAATATCACAAGTGAGTTCATGAAGGTACAAGATGGAACTTGGTTTTTACACTACCTCATTTAAAATTTCAAGCCCATTTCATTCTTACTGGTTGCATTTTTAAATATTTCTTTTTCAAACATGACAAATGTGATCAGACCTTAGCAAATAAAGGGCAAAATGTTTTCTCACCTTCCTTTGAAAGCTGAAAGATAGGGGTTTATGAGCTACTAGGATRCTTAGTACACACCTCTCTGGGAGGGAACCTTGTCCATGAAACCAGAGTCATCTCCTTATAGTGTTAGGACTGTAAAAGAAAAGGAATCTATCCTGCTAGGTCCAGTTAGGAAAATTCCAAAGAGTGATTTTGGTTTACCTGGTTTGAGTCCATTCTGGACCAGCTTGTAGCCTGGGTGTGGCCGCAGATTGACACAGACCAGTTCATATGCCACCTCTGTGGTTGGAGCAGGTAGGCAAGATCTGTAACCAAAGGGTTGTTGGGCAATACAAATAGCAGCCACAGAGTACATTATTCATTGCCAGAAAGTCACAGAAACCAGCTAAACAACAGGACATTTGAAAAAGAAAATAAACCCTCCAGCTGGGATTAGCTGGGATTATAGGCATGTGTCACTGTCCTGGCTTTACTCTAACCTCATCAGCTACAGCTAAATACCATCAACTATTTGAGCAAGGCCTTCGGAATTTTGTTTGGATATATATTTACATATATATTTTAACCAAAATGAGAAAATGCTATATGTAGTATTTTATTAAATCATCCTGTTGTCTTCAAATAGTGTATTATAAATATTCCCATGTAAGTAAATATTCCTCCAGAACTTCATTTTTAATGACTGTTGGGATTTTTAATCACTGGGAAGATAATTATGTGTTCTGTCATTTCCTTATTACTTACTGGATTTATTAGTTTCCAAGGGCTCCTACAACAAAGTACACATCCTGGGTGGCTTTGGACATGGAAATTTCTTCTCTCACAGTTCTGGAGGCCAAGAGTCTGAGACAAAGTGTCGGCAGTGCCATGCTTCCTCTGAAACCCGTATAGAACTCCTTCCTTGTGTCTTTCTAGCTCCTGGTGGTTCGTGGGCTGTCTTCAGCTGTCCTTGGCTTATAGACCATCTCTCTAGTCCCCCATTTTTATGTCATTTCTGTCTTTTCCCTGGCCTCAAACTTGAGATCCCTTTTTGTGTGTAGGACTCTGTGTCCAAATTTTCCCTTTTTATGAGAACACTGGTCATAATTGGACTAGGACCTATCATAATGATCTCATTTTAACTTGATTACCTTTTTAAAGATTTTATTTAAAGATATTGGGGGTTAGGACTTTATATCTTTTTTTGAGAGGACACAAGTTCAGCCTATAACATTGCACCATTTAGGCAATTTCCAATTTTTATTCTATTTTTTCTTTGTATGCAGTACTGGGGATTGTACCCAGGGGTGTTGTACCACTTGGCTACATCTCTAAACCCCTTTTATGTTTTAATTCAAGACAGTCTCCTTAAGTTACTGAGGCTGGCCTTGAACTTGAGATCCTCCCACCTCAGCTTCCTGAGTCTCTGGGATTATAGGCTTGTGCTACTGTACCTGGCCGTTTTTCACTCTTAAACAATTCAGTGATAAACATTTTAAAATCAACTTTCTGTGTATATTCTTCATTATTTTCTTTCAGTTAAATTGGGAGAAGCAGAGTAGTTGGGCCAAAAGATGTACACGTGAAAGTTCTGAAAGGTACCATTTGCCTCTGACTGGCAGTTTATAAGGTTGATGCTCTCATCTATCCCTTGTCAGTACTGGCATAATTGTTTCTCTCTCTCTCTGTCTCTCTCTCTCTCTCTCTCTCTCTCTCTCTCTCTCTCTCTCTCTCTCTCGCTGTGCCAGGGATGGAACTCAGGACCTTTCTCACCCATGCTCAGCAAGTGTTCTCCCACTGAGCTACACCACCAACCCTCATTCTTCTGTAAAACCACGTAGTAGCTTCACTTTAATAACTTACTTCTAAATAAATGAGTTATGTGAAAGTAAATTTTTTACCTTTTTTTAGCATTTTGCTTGTTTCTGATAAACTGATAGGAATAATGGTATTGCATTACATTTTTTTTTGAGTACTTGAGAGGTTAGATATTTTCTGTATGTTTTGAAAGTATTTTTCTTTTATGAACTTCTGGTTTTTACCTGTTTTCTATTGGATTTTGTTTTACTGATATTTAATAAATCTGTATATATTGACTGTTTGCCCCTTATCATTTATGTTGTAAATATTTTTTCAGTTTATATAATTTCTTTTAAGTCCCCCCCTGCCTTTTTGTGGGAGAGCCAAACTATTGAATTTGCAAATATAAAGACAAACCTCGGGTTATGAAGTCCAGACTGTTGAGGGGCTCTCCGGGCATGGTAGAGGGCTTGGATTTGGAGTTAGAAGTGCTGGGCTAAGTCTGCTTTCTGTCATTCACTGACTGTGTGCCCCTGGGTGAGTTACACACCTCTTAAGCCTCAGTCTCTTCATCTGAGAAGTGAGCATGGTGAGTCTTGGGATACCTTCTTCTCCTGGTAGACCTTTGTTGCACACTCGGGTTATGCCATTCATTGTTCTTTGTAGGAGTTCCAGACACTAAAATGAAAAAGACATTGTCCTACCACTGAGGAAAATGAAAGAGTTGTACACTTGTTACTTTTTCTTGAGAGAACAATTGTGTGCAAGCTACCCAAAGAGAGTTCTTTCAGGATAAGTCATTTTGACTGAAGGAACTTGCCTTAAATAGAAAGTGATGCCTCCGGGGTTACTGGTGATGAGTTCTGCTCCTTAACATGTTGAAGTATAATATTAGAAAATCACGCCAAGGCAAGCACATAAAGCAAGGTTTATTTTAAAAGGGGTAACACAGACTTCTCCTAGGAGGGAGAAGGGGGCCAAAGCTAGTATCCTTATATCCCAAGAAGCGAGGATGTTTTGCCTTTTTATATGTCTTAGGATTCCATTGTTCTCCTGCTCTCTTCCCCTTATCTCTTTCCTAGATGCTGGGTGTTGTGGCCTAAAGGTGGGAAACAGGGGGAAGGGGGAAGGGCAGGATGGATTGGCCCAGCACACATTAATTAATAACTTTATAACTCCCTGTAGAGAGAGGCAATTCCTGGGACAGGTTACCTTAGCAATAGGTTGGAACAGGGGCAGGTTATCTTTATAGGGTGGTGGAAGGGTTCTGAAGGCATTAACAKTTTAATTCCTCCATTCTCTGGATCCAACCCTTGCCTGTCTTGCTTCAAAAGGATGGAAATTATAATAAAGGTAGTCCTCATGAAGAAGTTAACTTGTCCAAGGTCACACAGTGTGTTAGTTTTTTGTCACTTGGCAGAATACCTGAGATAAACAACAACAGAGCAAAGATGTATTTTGACTCATGGTTTCAGGGGTGAAAGAGAGAGAAAGAATCAAGGCCAGGGCCAAGATAATACCTTACAGGGTATGCCCCCAGTGATCCACTTCTTTCAACGTGGCTCACCCTCCTACAGTTTCCACCATCTTCTAGTAATGCCATTAGATAATAAATCTGTCAGTGGACGAATCTACTGAAGAGCTCAGAGCCCTCATGATCCAATCACTTCCCCCAAAGCCTCCCCTTGGAACACTGCTGCACTAGGACCAAACCTTCAGCACATGAGCACATTCCAGACCCAAACCATAACACAGTGAATAAAGAGTGGATTCAGACCCAGCAGTGTGACTCCAGATTACTACAGTTTTAACCACATATATGACCATAATTGATACGGTCATGCTTATATACTGTGTTTCTTATACTGGACAGTAAATAAATTTGTAGCCAGAGGATGTGATAGACTGAAGATTTTAGAGAGAATTTTTTAGTCTTCTATGGCAGCAGCAGCTATCCATAGAAGAGTATCTTCTGTGTTTAAATTAAGTACTACTCCAAGAACACTTGAAAACCCCAAAGAATTTTGTCTTTTGTGATATTGGAATGATCTTTTTTATTGCTACTTGCTTTCTTCTAGGTTTCTGTTATTTACAGCTCATTAGACTTTGAGCCAGAGATTTTCTTTGCTTTGGGATCTCCAGTTGGTATGTTTCTTACCATCCGAGGAGTGGACAAGATAGATGAAAACTACAGGCTTCCTACTTGTAAAGGATTCTTCAATATTTATCATCCTGTGAGTGAACTGAATTTTTTTTTTCTTTTGAAAAAGATAAAGAGCCTGTCCTCTTTACCTTAAAGGTTCTCAGGTTCTTATTTCTTGGGAGTTAATATTGATCTTGATTTTGTAGGACTTAAGTCTTCCATCCTAAGAGATATAGTCTGTTATTTTCTAATAACAGAAATCCTGTTCAAAGAAATAATTCTATTGCTTTGCTTGCAAATTAGTTTTACCTATAGACTATAGAAAAACTTCTTAAAATTGCCAGTATTTGAATAAGGAGTAGGAAAAAGTCAATCTCTGATTTGCCAGTTATCATTTTCTTACCCAACTAAAAGCATGAGCAACTCAAAACAGCTTTTCAATTCTTCCATTTGTAGCTTGATCCAGTGGCATATAGATTAGAACCTATGATTGTTCCAGATTTGGATCTAAAAGCAGTCCTCATCCCACATCACAAAGGCAGAAAAAGACTTCATTTGGGTAAGAAACAAGTGTAAAAACTTGTCATTCCTGATATTTTATAATCTGTATTATTAGTATTATTTTGTAATCTAATATTCTAATATTAGTAGTATGAAAATTGAAACACTAAATTCTTTCTGATAGAATTAATACTACTTAAATGTCTACTTAGTTCAGAAAAAGGAAGAATTTGAAGGAGGTATAAAGTTTTAAATGAATTCCTTCTTTTTGATGATATTGAAAAAGGGGCAAGTTGATAATAAAGCAAATTTTGATAATTTGGTTACAGTTTTTGAAACTGGGAAGAAGGGTAACACTTAATGACCAAATAATAAAGAAATGAATTTGATGTTGTCTAAGTCAAGAAAAGTGTTGTTTTCTTGTAACTAGACAAACTTTTCCTATTAAAAAAAATTCCCCTGGCAGGGCTGGGGAGTAGCTCAGTGGTACAGCACATGCTTAGCTTTATTGAGGCCCTGGATTCCATCCCTAGCAACACACACACACACACACACACACACACACACACACACACACACATCATTTAGCCTAATAGATGGATAATTTCTGTTAATTATGTGTATTACTTATCCCTAGACTTAAAAGATTGGGTGGAAGGGTTGTGAGCATGGACAAGAAAAGGAAAAGTGATCATGACCTTTTATTTAAACATTTTTTTGCTGGGTTTGGTGGTGTATGCCTGTAATTCCAGTAACTCAGGAGGCGGAGGTAGGAGGATCATAAGTTCAAAGTCAGCCTCAGCAGTTTAGTGAGGAGGCATTTGGCAACTCAGCAAGACCCTGTCTCTCTATAAAAAAAAAAAGGGGGGGTGGCTTGGGATATGGCTCAGTGATTTAAGTACCCCTTTGTTCAATCCCTAGTGCTCCCCCCCCCAAAAAAAAAAAGAAAAGAAAAGAAAAAGTTTTTTTCTAGCTACTTGGGAGGCTGAGGCAGGAGGATTGCAAGTTTGAGGCCAGCTTGGGCAGCTTGGCAAGACCTTGTTTCAAAATAAAAATAAATGAGTATCTATCTGTCTCAGTAGTAGATACCCCCCTCCCCCATTCAATTCCCATTGTCCCCCCCACACCCAAAAAGGGGGATGTGTTTTGTTTGTTTGGCTGGTGGCACGATTTTTAAAAAATATTTAACTCTTTAGAAGTTAAAAATGAAAAATTTGATAACTCAAAAACYTTGAATTCAAATATGATTATTATATAAGAGGAGAAATAATGAAGGAGCAGAGGTTTTTTCATTTCTAAAGTAGAGGTTTAAATTGTAGTTATTAGAATCTTAAATTCTCAAAACCATTTCACTGTTACACATTAGAAAAGCAGTGATAATTTTAGTCTCTTGGGTCCATTTTTAAAAAAACTTCCAGTAAAAAGTACTTATGAATGTTGCTTTTATTTTTGTAGTATTTAAACTTCTTTCTTTGGATAGGAGAAATTTATATTCTTGGGCTGGATCAAGTTTAGTCATGAAAAAAAATGACAGAATAAGTCAAGCGTGGTGGCCCATACCTATAATCCTTGTGGCTCTGGAGGCTGAGGCAGGAAGATTGCAAGTTCACAGCCAGCCCCAACAACTTGATGAAGCCCTAAGCAACTTAGTGAGAGCCTGTCTCAAAGTAAAAAATAAAAAGGGATGGGGATGTGGATGTGGCTCAGTGGTTAAGCACCCCTGGGTTCAATTCCTGGTACCAAAAAATAAAAATAAAAAATGACAGAATTAGATTCATCAAGTTATTTTATCATGCTAAGCATTCTGGCTGAGTCATTCTGTATATTTGACTTTAAGAGAGGAAGAAGAGCTCCTCAATGGAATATTAATTTCTGTGATAATGGAATTTTACCCAGTGACTGGTTAACTTGATGTGTTTTCTTGATCTCTTTAGAGTTGAAAGAAAGTCTCTCTCGAATGGGATCTGATTTGAAGCAGGGTTTTATTAGCTCTCTGAAAAGTGCTTGGCAGACACTTAATGAGTTTGCCCGTGCTCATACCTCTTCAACTCAGTTGCAAGAAGAATTGGAGAAAGTTGCCCATCAAATCAAAGAGGAAGAAGAAAAGCAAGTAGTTGAAGGTAAATTTGACATTTGAGGCATTTTCCAGTACAAATGTTACTTATGAACCATAACACTGATGCATTACTTAATAATGCTTTTATTTTCTAGTCTTATTTTGTGAAATTGTGTAGRTCCTTCCTATAAAGGAGAATTTGTCATAGTAAACTATACCATCAAGTGCATTATTTCAACATCATTCTTAGTTAACTAGGTTTTTAACTGATAGTTACTGAACTTTTAAATATTTTGTTGAGTTTCTTAAGGCCAGAATGGAATATCAGAGTTGAGAAGTGTTTGTATTCAGGCATTTTAAAGACTCAAAGAAGTTATCTTCCTGATACTGTGGTTTAACTGTGTCCTTATAAACTTCATATATAATGTCAGGTCATTGTGCCATGATATGTTTGACTTTCAGATTCTAATTCTATTTCCTTTCTCTCTACAATGCTTTCTCACCTCTTATCTTCACAACTTCTGTCAGCTGTTGGCTCTTTCTCCTCTCTCTTCCCCTGTTGTTTGGAGGAATGGGGAGTGAGCCTGGTAGCTCCCCAGTTGCTACGTGTGTCAAGCCATATACTCATTGAGCCAGAAAGTCAGCTAAAGTCAAAGGATAATGATTAAGTGATTGACTTTTATATTGAAATGGTTTAAATTCTAGCAGAAAAGATTGTTGAAAGTCCAGATTTTTCCAAGGATGAAGACTACTTAGGAAAAGTTGGAATGTTAAAYGGAGGCCGCCGAATCGATTACGTTCTTCAAGAAAAGCCAATAGAGAGTTTTAATGAATATCTTTTCGCTCTTCAGAGTCATTTGTGCTATTGGTAAGTGTTCTTCACTTTGATAACATTTGAGAGACTTTAGGTGCCATCACATAACAACAGTTTAGTTTTAGTGAGAKTCTTTTACTGATTTCAATATTTGTTATGGTCTGTTAATTCTAACTCATATATCTCAAATCATAACTTTTCTCCTTTAATTTTTAAAAAAATTCAGAATAGAGGTTTGCAGTATATTTCTTTTTATCTTTCTAATCTGCATATTTGAGTTATCCACAAGGTGGCGGTATGTTATCTGCCTTTACCCAGAGGCCTTTGGTGCTTGCACACTGTTTTTGTAGGAGTCTTTCGTAGTGGGAGTTGTAGGGATTTGGGAAAGCCATTTCTTCTKTATGATCTTATCACCAAGAGCTTGACTGTTCTGGAGCTGGTCTCTGTGCAGTTTTTAAGGATAGCTGTAAGATCACATTTGCCATCATTTGCCCTTGTTAGATAGAGTTGAATAGAACAACTAAACTGCATTTACCACCTTTGTGCACAGAGTTAATTCTACTAATTGTCTTTTAAATAAATATGCTTTTCTTTTTGATAGGGAATCCGAAGATACTGCTCTCCTACTACTTAAAGAAATTTATCGAACAATGAACATTAGTCCAGAGCAGCCCCAGCATTGATCGGACTTCTATTTTACTGTGAGTTTATCTCTTTTATACATAAAAAGTTTGAATGTTTGCATTCTGAAGCTTTTTTGTATGGAGCTGATATTGACTGGGATTTTTCTCTTTGCTCTTTTCTGTTTCCTCTGAGATTTTTTTGTTTGTTTGTTTGTTTGTTTTGTTTAAATTCAGAATACAGATAGCAAGGAAGGGGATTAGTTTGCAGTATGTATTTCTGATTCATTATTATCTTCTTTCCAAAACTACACAGAATTTGAGTCTTTTAGTTTTTTGKTTTTTTTTGGTTTTGTCTTTTTTTAAAAAAACAGATCCTAGAAATGTCAGTTGAGAATTCCTTTGGGTATAGGTCTCATTACCCATTTACAACACTTTAAACAAGTAGAGTTTATTTTCCTTCAGTGACAGGATTGGTTCCTTTGTTGAGTGATGCCACCAGACACCTGGACTGCTGGCGTCTTCCTGCATCAGTGTCGGCTCTTACTGCCTTGTGTTTATAACATGCTCCCATCGTTCCAGACATGTCTGTATCTGGCATGCAGAGCAGCGACTACCTTGCCTATCCCTTTTAAATTAGAAAAGCAAAAGCGTGGCCAAATACTCTCTCACACCTATAGACTAGGCCTGTGGCCACCCTAGCAAAGGTSATGCTGTAAGTGTTCCCAGTCTTTAGAGAAGGAATAGAGAAGAGGGTTAAGTCTGTGATGAGTGTGCCAGTCTGTGTTTTTGTCATGCTCTATGTTCCTAACTGTCCTCCTGAGACACTGGATACTTGTTTTTCATCACTAGATAATGCATTACTTTTAAAAAGAAATTTTAAAGCCTTTGAAACAATGGAATAAAAAGTACTGATCTCTACATTGCCAAAATCAAAAGTAGCTCCTAGCACATTTTGGTTTTCTGGTAGTAAATGATAAATGAAGATTCCCTTTAGCCTCCACTTTCTCATTTTAGAGAGGTAACCATTTTCACTGGGGTTCCCTTAGAGAAATTTTTATGCATATATTCAAGTAAATATTCTTGCATTTTAAAACAAAGGGATCTCATTCAATATATTGTCTTGAACTTGGCTGTTTTCCGTCAGCCAGGCAGCTCACTTGGTATTCCTATTGTGTGTGTGAGCCAGTTTCCTGTGAATGAACATTTAGATAATTTTCAGTGTTTTTTAATGCTATATATTAGGCAGTCTTAGTCAACAGAATAGTTTGGTCTAAACAACTACTTTGTAATTGTATTGTATATAATTTTATCAGTTCCTACCATTTCTGATATTGTAATATTTGAGAATAGTTTCATCTAAAAAACAATTACATAATCACATCGTATATCATTTTATTAGTTCCCACCATTTCTGATATTATAATATTAAAATAAACTGAATGTAATGTCAAAAGCTTCTCATAGTACAGATTTTCAATTATAAAATAGTTATTTACTTGATGGACAAATATTTATTCAGTACCTACTGTGTGCCAGACACCCATTTTTATGCTGAGGATAAGTAATCAACAAGATTGCATCCTCACCTTTAAGGGATTTACCTTCTACTGGGAGAAGATTGACAGTAAACCTGATCCCTATAATGCACAACTTCAAATATTGGTAGGTTTGGTGGAGAAGATTAAATTGGAAATGATAGAGGGCAGCTGGGGTGTTTTAGTCAAGCTTTTTTGCTGCTGTGATAAAGGACCCTACCAGCACAAATATAGAGGAGAAAATGTTTATTTAGGAGTGYACGGTTTCAGAGTTCTTAGTCCATAAAAGGCAGGCTCCATTCCTCAAGGCTCTCACTGTAAGGCAGAACATTATGGTAGAAGAGTGTGGCAGAGGGAAGCAGCTCACATGATGATCAGGAAGCAAAGAGAGAGACTCCACTCTGCAGATACAAAATATACACCCCATAGCCATGCCCCCAATTAACCACTTCCTCCAGTCACACCCCACCAGGCTCTAGCCACCACTTTATCATGGTGCACTATCTTTTTAATGTGTATATGTGATTTGCTAGTATTTTATTAAGAATTTTTACATCTATGTTCATAAAGGATATTGGTCTGAAGTTTTCTTAGTGTGTCTTTGTCTAGTTTTGATATCAGGATGATATTAGCTTCATATAATGAATTCGGAAGAGTTCCCTCCTTTTCTATTTTCGTGGAATAATTTGAGGCGGATTAGTATTAGCTTTTTTTTTTTTTTTTTAAAGGGTCTGGTGGAACTTGACTAAGAATTCATCCAGCCTTGGGTTTTTCTTTCTTTTTTTAAAAAAATTTCTTTGTTTTTTCTTTGTTTCTTTCTTTTTTTGTATATAACACAATGCCTTTATTTTACTTATTTATTTTTTTATGTGGTGCTGAGGAACAAACCCAGTGCCTCACACATGCAGGTTAAGTGCTCTACCACTGAGCTATGATCCCAGCCTTGGTCCTGGGCTTTTCTTTGTTGGTAGGCTTTTGCTGATGTCTTAAATTTCATTATTTAAAATTGATCTGTTTAAATTTTCTGTATCTTCCTGATTCAATTTGGGTAGGTTGACTAGAAATTTGTTGATGTCTTTAAGATTTTCTAATTTATTTGGATTATAAATTTTCAAAATAGTTTGATTATCCTGTGTATTTCAGTATTGTCTGTGGTGATATTTGCTTTTTCTCATGAATTTTAATAATTTGAGTTTTTTCCCCTCTTTCTTTTGGTTAGTTTGGCTAGAGTTTATCAGTTTTGTTTATTTTTTCAAAGAAACAACTTTGTTTTGTTGATTTAAAAAAACATTTTTTAAAGATTTTAATTCAATTAATTTTCTCTGATTTTGATTAATTTCCTATCTTCTACTGATTTTGTTGTTGATTTGTACTTCTTTTTGTAGGGCCTTGAGATGTAAGAAATACAGAAAAGAGCTGGGTGTGGTGGTATGTGCCTTGAATTCTAGCTGCTTAGGAGGCTGAGGCAGGAGATTGCATGTTATAGACCATCCTGGGCAACTTGCTGAGACCCTGTCTCAAAATTTAAAAGAATAAAAAGAACTGGGGATGGAACTCAGTAGTAGAGTACCCCCTGGGTATCACACACACAAAAAAGAAAGAAAATACAGAAAAGAATAAGCAGCAGTAGAAACTACCCATAATCTTACCAACCAAAAATGTTAAAAGTATTTTCTAAGTCTGTTTTACACTGTTTGTTATTTTATAGCCTGTTTTTTCTGCTTAAGATGTTGTGTAATTTTCCCATTTCAGCCTATACCATGTGTGCATGCATGTGCTCATGTGTCTGGTATACTTACAGTTCTTGTTTGCTTTTCTGAATGAGTTATATAAACACTTGATTTAGATTTTTGAAGTGACAGAAGTGAAGGATCATCTTTTTTGTGTATCCTTCCAGACTTCTGCTTACACACAGTAAAATTTTTCATTTTTTTAAAGTGACCTTGTGTCTTGGAGAGTGTTCCATACCAGGGCACCCATCCATCTGTCCATGTACCCATTACTAGTGAAGTTGAGTATTTTTGGTGTATGAATATGCCTCCCTGATTGTATTTCTTCTTTTGTTAATTGCTTGTTCCTGACCCTTTTGTATTTTTTCTGGAGGTGTGAGGTAGGCTGGTTTTAATTTTTTTTGTTGTTGTTGTTTTGAGAGAGAGAGAGAGAGAGGTTTTTTTTTTTTTAATATTTATTTTTTCAGTTTTCGGCAGACACAACTTGTTTGTATGTGGTGCTGAGGATCGAACCCTGGTCGCACGCATGCCAGGCGAGYGCACTACCGCTTGAGCCACATCCCCATCCCCTTTAATTTTTTTTAATTGGTTTTATTTTTTTAAATACATGACAGCAGAATGCATCACAATTCTTATTACACATATAGAACAATTTTTTATACCTCTGTTTGTGTATAAAATATGTACACATCAATTCATGTCTTCATACATGTTACTTTTAATTTTGTTTATGCTTTAGAGTTACAGGGCCTCATATATTAGTAAGCCATACCACTGAGCTGTACTCCTAGCCCATTTCCTGAGCTTTCTGGTCTTTTCTATTGACTTATTTATCTCTCCATCATATTTCATTGATTTCAGGTCATATACCCTATTTTAGCATCTTTAAGTTTGGAATGCATCTCAACATCAGCTGTTGGCTGTAAGTTGGTTTCTGAGAGGGCATGTATTGTTCTCTGCCAGCCACTGGGGGTCACTACCTACCTGGTCTACTTAAGCTGATTTCTCTACTTGAGATGTTCTTGGTCCATGCTGGTAGTGTCAACTCAGACCTCAGAATCTGCAGGTGGAGGGGACAACGGTACCATTCAGTGTACAGGGAATTTTCCCCCCTCTTCCCATGTCAGATAAGAGTGTGAGGGTTTTTTGCCATCCTTTTTGCTTGGATGGTTTTTCTTTTTATGTCTAACTAATCAGGGTTGTGACYATTCGGTATCCCTACTTGTTTGAAAGTCTCCTGACTCCTTTGAGACTCTCTTTCCTGGGCATCTTTCATTTTATGCATAAAACAATGGCATGCTCTATGGTGTGTTAATAATGGTAATTTTTTACTTTTGAATGTCTGGCAATACAAGTTCTCAGTATACCACAGTCTTGACTCTCTCTACCCTCTTAAAACAAACAAAACCCCAAAACAACACTCCTGGATTTTGGAAACCTCAGTCAGAACCTTTTATCTCACATAGGATTTGTTCACTCTAGTGGYTTTATTTCCATATGTATTTGCTTATAAAATTTAGGCCAGAATCTAAGTTTTTAATACTAAACTGATAAAATAATTAATTGAAAATATTATGCTTGATTCATTCAGAGACCAGTTAAGCTAAATAATATTTTCACGTTTATTTCCTTTWATTGCTTTTCAAAAAAGCCTTAAATTAACCTGATAATTAACTTAAGATTTTGTCTTTCACTTTCSATACTTGCTTTGTTACAAAGATTCCTCTTGCTGAAATAACCTTGTGCCCTCCCAAGCCTTCGGATGGCACATCTGAGGCTGTGCGCTCCCAGGCTGTGTTATTTGGAGGCCATCTGCAGTGTTTGCTCAGGAAGGTTGAGCATGAACCTGTATGTTCTTTCACTTCAGGAAGGAGCGGCAGTGCATTATATTCTTACTGTAAATTTGTGACGTTTACCAAGTTTTCTTTTTAAGACTTTCTTCTCTTCACAGAAAGTCCCAGGGAAAATCACCTTGCTGAAAGAACTCTCCATGGATGTTCCCAGTCTGCTCCTGTGATGGAAGATTGAAAAGCGATGCGTCAACAGTTGTTCACACATGACTCTCAGGTGTGGGCTTCATTCAGAAGGCAACACATGGAGCGAAAAGGCAATGACAAAATCTACTGCATTTGGACAGTATGGATGAGAAAATGTAATTATAAAAATAATGCAATGAAAAATTCCTCAGATTTGTTTAGTTGTATAGTTGTCCAAGTTAAGTGTGAGTTAAATGAAGAAATATTTGTAGCATGCAAATGGTTATTTCTGTTTCTGAAAAACCACCATCAATGGGCTATTAAACTTACATTTTTCTTTTTATTAGTGCAGTATGTTCCTTTTATTCAGGTATGGACTTCTTGAGAAACTCTGGTAACATGATTTTCAGGAAAGATGTCACACTTTCAATGTGAAGCATGGTTCTGAGCTGCTGGCCAAGGTCACTTGCAGCCCACGCTGGGTCTGCGGTGTTGTGGAGCCTTCACACTACCGGAAGCCTAGTTATGAAGTGCTTTGACTTTCCAGAAGTCCTGTGATGGGCTCTCTGGGAGTGTCCACCTACGCAAGGAGGAGGGAACACATGTCAGGTTTCATTTGGTCATCAGACGAAGCTGGCAGTTGCCTCATTGCTGAAGTTCTACTTAACGTGAGAACCAAAGTAGAGGTTTTTGTTTTCTGGTTTATTAATTTCCCTTATACCAAAGTCTTTGAAAGTATGAAATGTTCTGCTTCTAGGCTGTAAAGCTACTTCACGAAAAGACTGCTCTGTGGTATTTCACTTTGTTTTACCATAAATTCAAATTATCCAAATATTTTCCTAATCCTACACAGAAATGCTGATTTTCTTCTTGTGTTATGTAGTGGAAACATTTTACATTGTTTATATAGTTCTCATGGAACATGGAATTTTTTGAAAGCTATATATGATACACATTTTTGTGTATATATATTCTAATTGGTGTGAATAAAACAGTAACATCAATGATTTTTTTAAGCAGCAAACTTCTGTATTCTTATGTCTTCCTTTAATAGTATTCCTTTGAGCTAGGCGTGCTGGCACATGCTTGTAATCCCAACAACTTGGGAGGCTGAGGCAGCAGAATCGCAAGTTTAGGGCCAGCCTGGACAACTTAGTGAGACCCTGTCTTAAAATAAAATAAAAAGGGCTGAGGGATGTCACTCAATGGTACAGTACCCCTAGGTTCAGTCCCCAGTACTGGGGGAGAAGAAAAATCCTATGAGTTCAGTGTCATTCCCTTTCTATTGTGAGTAGCTGCTTTGTAGCTAATACAGGAGTTTATAATTTGCTACTAATAGTAGAATGAGAACTGTAAAATTTTGGAGCTGCAGTCGACCCTGGATGGCCTGTATTCCAACCACCTCAATTTTCTAGCTGAGGAACAACACTAAATGCCTTTTCCAGACTGATACATGGCAGATCTGGGCTGGAACACAGATTTATTGACTCCCTTCCGGCCTTTGTTTCTCCACACCAGGACAAATTGATTTTCACTTAATTTTCACTTAACTTCCCAGTACTGATGAAATAAAAAAAAAAAATGAGGGTTATTTATATATATTTTAATAAAATCCTGTTTGATTTTTCAACTTACAGTGAGTTTTGTGTTTTGTTCTGCCTGTCTTCTGAGTGATGGGTTAAGAGAAGGGCCTTTGGGCCATTGTCCGTGGAAGAAATGTGTGCCAGGCCTGGATTCTTGCCATTTCATTTTAAACCTGAAGAAACATAAAATAGAATTTTTTGGACCTGGCCGATGACCTATTTTTCCATCATTATACAGTCTTTTTGTAGTTTTCCTGAGGGCAGAGTCTGGAGCAAAGTCTTGGTCACTGTTGTCACCACCATGCCGAGCACAGAGTCTTTCCACAGAGTGAGGCACTTCCCAGATATTTGTTGAATAAGGGAATTTTTAAAATCAAAACCATAATTTGACACTTTGAAAGAGACCCGAGAGGATCATCTAGATGGGTGGTTTGCAGGGTTTTGAAAAGCAGCAGGACTCTTTCATTGAAAACGTTTTCAAATTCCAGTTTGTAGACAAGATGAGAGCACAGCTGACCAAACTGCCTCCTCTCCTCAGGAGCAGCTTGAGACCTTACCCAGCCCCTATTCTAGACTAATGCTCTTATCTTCCCTAGGTGGGGAAAATCAAGTCTTTAGTCATTCTGGAAGTGTTCATGTGCAGAGTTTGGAACAAAACTTTAAAAATGTTAGCATCTGAACTCAAAGGATAAGAGTYGTCTTACAACTGGCCAGAACCTTGAGCCTAGTGAGTCATGCTAATGCTGTAGTACATGAGTGCATATGGCTTCCCAAGTCTGACAGTCACTTGTGTTTCTTGAATCCAAGCAGATAAGCATGTTTTCTCTGAACAGTATGATTAAAAGAAAAGGAAACAACACAAGCTATAGTTATTTTTGAGGTAAGTATGTTTCCTGAAAGGTGTGATTGACATGGACCCTTGGGAATGAGCATTAGAGTAGAGACTACTGTGCTGGGGGGATGCTCTGAGAGCTGAAATGGTAACCTGGTGTGACTATAAGAACTGGAGGTCAGGCTTGTCCCAGACAAGCCAGGGTGACTGGCCCTGGTGGTGTTCATGTTCTGTTGTTTCAGGCATCTGATTGGGAGGCATCTCACCACCTTGGTACTGGGCTGTCATGTATGCCAAGCACTTGTTTGGTGAGAACTCAGTTTTGCCACTCAGAGGAGGATGAGTTGAACGGCAGACACTGGATGCTTTTCCTCCAAGTGTAGTTCTTATTATTACGTAGCAAGATGGCACTCTGAAAATAGGTTTGTTCCTGGGGCCAATTGGCAGTTCACACTCTTCATGTGCCAAGGTGCCAACGCTGCTCCTGTTGTCAGCCATTGCCCTGGGGTGTGCAGGATGGATGGTCAGCTGACTTGTCTGTTGATGTTTCTGTGATATTTTGACCAGGTTATCGGTTTTGTCCTGGTATTTTATTTTTACAAATTGAGCTCACCAAAAACTCAAAAGCATAGTAAACCTCCAGTGTCTACCTGTCTTGGCTTGTGTCCAAGCTTTACCTCTCAGTTGTGAATCCTTATGCATGATTTCTTCCCACTAACTTCTCAGCAAAGTGTGTTTTGGTTTCGTTTTGTTCTGGGTCAGTTTCCTCTACCCAGAAGTTCCTCAACCTCATGGGGGAGCTGTAAGGATTAAACAAAAGTATGAGTAAGGCCCCTTTGTTGGTGAGCAGCACACAGTAGACACTCGTGGCCTTAGCTGGTTAGTACTATGCTCAGCACACAGTAGGCACTTGTGGCCTTAGCTGGTTAGTACTGTGTTCAGCACACCGTGGGCACTCATAGCCTTAGCTGGTTAGTACCATGCTATTGTTTTGCCACGAGTGCTCAGGTGCTGGGAAGACCAGGCCTTCAGTGGCAGGTCACTACCACCCTCATCCTTCCTGGTCATACGGTGGCCAGAGTTCTGGCAGTGGGCACTGCCACAGAGAGAGAGCCTTCCTCTGCTCACAGAGCCGTCTGAGGAGCGGCAGAGCCTGGAGATCTGCAGGAGTGCAGGGTGTGCAAGGCTGGAGAGGTGCAGCCATTAGAAGGGGGGTGGCATGGCGTGTGTTGGCATGGGTGGAAGTGAGGGATGGTGATAATTATTTGCCTGTCTTCATCTGGGCTCTTGCAAAATGCCTTTGGATAATGTCAGTGTGCCACAATTTGACTCATTTGGAATAAGGATCAAAGGATGAAGAAAATGCTTATTTTTCTTTTTTATGCTTCAGACCAAGTGAAATGAGCTTGGGCAGTCCACATGTGTACCACTAGGGTAAATATGAAAAGATCACAGCAATCTTCCATATAGGACATTTTGTAGGGCATCATATAAAACAGGTCAGGGGTTAGCAAAAAAATCCATAAAATAGTGGACAAAATGCCGCACATTAGTCAGTGGTGAACTGCAGCTTAGGTTCAAGGATATGGAATTGGTGTACTTGGAATGGCCCACTGTGTTCTTTCATTTCTTGTATTAAAGTGTGAGTGTGTGTGTGTGTGTGTGTGTATGTGTGTGTGTAACCCAGAGCCTCACATGTGCTAGGCAAGAAATCTGCTACTGAGCCACCCCCAATCCCTTGATGAGTACTTATTTCTAAGACCTTATTAAGGGATGTGTACATACACTCAGAAGCACAGGGTGGTAATGAATCCCCATGTGCGGCTCTCCCAGCTTTGGTGGTGGTGTCTGGTACCTAAAAAGGTGAGTCCAGTGGCCAGGTGAAGGTGCACCTGTGGAAAGACACGAGTTGGGAAGCATCACTCACGGGAGCAACTGAAGAAATGAAGTTCCGTATGAAGTGCAGCAAGAGCTGTAAGAAGAATGTCAGATGTACTTTTCATTAAACGATTTCAAAAGCATTTCCAGTGGTGCTTTCTCATTGGCGGCCATGTGATGGCATTCACTCCTGTTGAAAGGAGCTCTGGAAGGTGTTTGTGCCTCTCGAAACTGACGCCCAGCTCGTTCTCCCAGGCCTCTGCTTCTCTCCAGCATCGACTGGCCAGTCAGAAGTTGCTCAGCCATTCTGAAGAACACTTCTGACTCTGAGCAGTGTCAGGTGGACGAGGCTGCTGCTGTTCTGAGTGCTGCTCTCTGGAACAGAGCWGGGGAGGGGACTCTGGTTTGTTGGGTGCCCACTGTTTCAGGCCCTGCAAGCTCACTTCCTGTAATGGTGACAGAAGCCCAGCTGAGGTAGGTAGCATCTGCCCTGTTTACAGATGAGGACTGAGGCTCGAGTAGGCAGACTAGCTGTCCTGCTCAGGGCTTCACAGTCATTGCAGGGGAGAATCAACTGAGCTTACATTTAAAAAAAAAAAAAAAAGAATAAAGGGAAGTCTCTGCTAAAAAGATGCCTTTTCAAATACTTGCAAATTGCCTGCCTCTCTTTTGCAAACACCTAGGCAATGAATTTTTTTTTTTTTTTTTTGTACAAGCAAACATCTTTTCAAAGGATACCTTTGAAAGAAGAGGTTAGGAGATGGGGACTATAATTTGCTGTGTTGCCTCAAGTAGGTTTTTTTTTTTTTTTATGGGATAAAAATGAAGGTTTTCAAATACGATTTTAAACAGGACCCAGGACTGGGGTGTAGCTTAGTGGTAGACTGCCTAGCATGGTCAAGGCCCTCCCAAGTTGATGGGAATACAGGCATGTGCCACCATGCCTAGCAAATTGTTCTATTTTATTTTATTTTTTTAAGTTTTGATGGACTTTTGAATTTTTTTATTTGTATATAGTGCTGAGAATCGAACCCAGTGCCTTACACATGC